ACTCAACTGGTCATGGACTCAACTGGTCATGGACCCTACTTACCAGAGACTCAAACGGCCGGAGACTCAAACGGCCAGAGACTCAGACGGCGAGAGACTCAGACGGCGAGAGACTCAAACGGCCAGAGACTCAAACGGCCAGGGACTCAAACGACTGGTACTCAATAGTCTCGTTCCAAAGGATTGGATGAGTTGAGCGTTTTTGGCCGTGTAGATGAGTTAAGCATTAGATGAGTTGAGGATTGGATGAGTTGAGCGTTTTTGGCCGTGTGGATGAGTTAAGCATTAGATGAGTTGAGGATTGGATGAGTTGAGCGTTTTTGGCCGTGTGGATGAGTTAAGGAATTTTAGCCGTTTAGATGAGTTGAGCGTTTTTGGGTGTGTGGATGAGTTAAGGATTAGATGAGTTGAGCGGGCACGCTCTCTCGGGGAACGAGACTATTGAGTACCGCCGATTGAGTACCGCCGTTTGAGTACCGCCGGTTGAGTACCGCCGTTTGAGTCCCTGGCCGTTTGAGTACCGCCGATTGAGTACCGCCGGTTGAGTCCCCACCCATATGGGGACATTTCAGTCCCCGACTTGTTTTTGGGATTTAAAGGGATTAAGTGAGATATCTGGAGTGATAAAGGAGCATTTGGTGAGATTGTGAGTGATAATGATAAATATGGAGTGATTTTGAGCGATTTGGAGTGATTAAAGGGGATATATAGACTGATTTTAAGGTTTGCATACAAGTATGTATGATTCCCAGGACTGAATTATTGCGGGTATGGTACTACTATGGGGTATATTCGTGTCCGGACAAAATATCGAATCGTTAAAATATGGAATAGGCTAAAAAAGGGTTAAAATCTCGAATCGGGTAAAAATGGGTTAAAATCGCGAATAGGCTAAAAAGGGGTCAAAATGTGGAATCGTTAAAATATGGAATGGTTAAAATCGCGAATAGGCTAAAAAGGGGTTAAAATACCGAATCGTTAAAATATCGAATTGATAAAATGTCGACACGGCCAAAATGGGTCAAAATGTCGAATTTTTTTTAAAAATGGCGCCAAAACCTAAAATCCGGGCGTTACCGTAATACCGACGGTATTTTTCGGTATTCCGTTTCCCCGATTCGATATTTTAACCATTCCATATTTTAACGATTCGGTATTTTAACCCCTTTTTAGCCTATTCGCGATTTTAACCATTCCATATTTTAACGATTCCATATTTTGTACCGGAGCCGGTATATTATATATGAATATAATGAGGGATTATAGGTCACCTCCAAATCACCTCCAAATTGGTAACATACCCGTAATACTTCCATTATGGGAATCATACATATGTATAGTTGGTGCCTTTATTTTGGTTTAATAATTATATGTACGCCAAAGTAGTAGCATATCCGCAATAGACCCGTACTGGGAATCATAAATGTGTAAATCCTAGAATGAAATACGGGGACTCAATCGTCCCCCCATGTGTGGGGACTCAACCGGCGGTACTCAAACGGCCAGGGACTCAACCGGCGGTACTCAACCGGCGGTACTCAAACGGCGGTACTCAATAGTACCCCACTGGCTCTCTCGTTTTAAATAATTTTTTACAAAACGCCAAGAATTTAATAAAAGGCGATATTCAAATTTATTTTACAGCTTCTTTTACCCCTCATCACTTCCCTCATAATTGAGAGCTCGGCATTCTCTCTGTCTCTATAACACAATCACACAACTCTATAAATAATAATCAATTTAACACGTTGGCATTTTATAGACAAATATTATAAAATTCTTTAAAATATTTTAAATGGCATTCATGCCTCTTTTCTGAGGAGTTAACTGCCAGTTTTTCAAACTTAATTCAAAATTATAAAACCGCTGGGACCAACATAGCCTTTATCGGATCATCCTTTTATCACCAAAGGTGTTCCCATAAAACGATATTGAATCCGGCAACTAATTTATAAACTCGCGATTCCCCAGCAGCCGACCGTCTACTGAATAGATATCAGAAGCGGCTTCATTGGGTGACTTACCGTAGTAGGGGAGCGGGGGGGGGGGGGGGGGGGGGCACAATTGTCAGGTGGAGAGCGGCAATGCATTGCCATCGCACGGGCCTTTGTTTGACGCTACCTCATCTTCTAATAATTTTCTTACAAATTTCAGACTTAATGTCTTTTTATTTTATTTCAATTCTCCTATTTTTCAACTTAACTTTTGTGTTTGGAGTAAAGACGATACCTGACAAACCCCCAAATTTGGAATATAAAATGGATAAAAATTCCAATTTAAAAATTGAAAGAATTGAAGTTAACAATAATTTTTCGATGGAAATTACTTTAAAATTTGTTTCGAAAGAATTAGGCATTAAATATTTTTTCACACCAATTGATAGTCAATGTGAGGAGGGTGTGAAGGACAATCAAGGAATGATTAGACAAGAAGAGAATTTTAAAAATAATTTTTCTTCTTTCATTAAAGAATTATCTTTTGCTTATTTAAAAGGATTTCGTTTATGTTCAAATATTATGTTGAAAGAAGAATTAAAATTAACAACAATACATTTTGTGAAACCTTTATTTTCAGATGGATTTATGTGGAAAGAAGAAGAAAATAAATCGAGATTATTTAAAAAAGGGTTCCTTCGAAGAGCGATTAAAAGAAAAAATGGGGCTATTATTTTAGAGGAATTTGAGGATATTCGTTTTTCTTTTGTGAAATTTCGGTATCAAAATTGGATGATAAATTCTTTAGACGTTTATGTTCAAGTCCGCGGTAATTTTTAGAACTAATTTTTGACAATTTTAAAAGAATATTTTAAATTTTTTTGGAAATACTTCGAATGCGGCATTGACTTCCATCCCAAAATTTCGGTTTTTATGCTACAGGATTAATCCCCCTTCCCGTTCAACCTTTTGTAAAAAGCGAACCCCTGAGTTTCATACACTAATTGAATTTTTAAATACTTAAATTGTTACAGAACCTGGATACTACAAGATGCTCATAAATCGTATTGAGGATGAATGTAACATGACGAAGACTAGCAGAATACATGAGAGTGAAAACGAACTACCAAAAACTGGAGCAGTTAGCCTTCATGGAAGGTAATTTTTTTGTTTATTTTATTTTAAATTTTAAAATGTTTGTTTAGATTTAAACCTAATGGATTCGAAGGCGGATTTGTAATTTGTATTCAATTCGTACCATCATCAAAAGGAAAAGGTATAATAGCAGGAGGAGTAGAAAAAGTTGCTGGAGGAGCACAAATGATTGGAAAAACAGTTATAGAAGGAGCACAAAGTGCAGTTGGGGAGGGGGCAAAAATGGCCGCTGGAAGAGTGAATATTGTTGCGAATACAGTTACTGGTGGAGCACATTTTGTTGCAGATACAGTTACTGACGGGGCACATTCTGTTGTAGGGACAGTCTCAGATGGAGCACATCTGGTTGCAGGCACAGTTTCTGATGGAGCTAGAATGGCCAAAAACACAGTTGTTGAAGGCAGGAATATTATTGGAGGCGCGCTTACAAGTGGAAGAAAAAAGATAGCGGGACTCGCCAGAAATGCTTCTACAATTCCCTCTGTTAGTTTATGTTGAATTTACCACCCCTCGAGGGCCGGCCCTGTCACCCAGAAATGACATTCACTTAAATTATTTTAGGGAATATTCCCATTTAATAAACGTGGAAAGCGTGCTTCAAGTTCTTCATCGTCGTCAGCAATTAGTGAATCGCCCAAGAATGTGAGTAAGGAAAAATCAAAAGAAAAACGAGAAAAGAATCTTTATAAGGTAGATTATTACAGTAAATCTGCAGAATGAGAGATTTTGGAATTAATTTCAGATTATTGCAAAAGTACTTCCAGCATTTCAAGATGGATTTGAGAAGGAATTTTTACCAGAAGAGATATAAAAGAGAAAGAAGACGGGTGTCTAAGAAGAGTACAACAGAACGAGACTTGTATTAAATGTAAAAAACAAACACTGAAACAGACAATCTTTGTATTTTTAGAAGTTGTCTCCGTTTTCTTATGCATAAATTTATAGAGTATTTAGAGCAGAACTAGGCTAATTAGACATTTTTTCTGCTAATGCAAAGGGTTATTTAGGCGGCCGAAGCAACTAACATCTTTTGTTGTTCGGAGTGGTCGGTTATCCGTTATGCCACCCCTTCTTTTATGTATTTAAAAATACCTAGATTGGATTGTTGTAGTTTAAAATAATTTTTAAACTTGTTTTTGCTTCAGTCTGACCTTTCTCATTATTTAATAATCTTCGTGAAAGGTTTACTATAAGCAAAAGAACAGCTTTTTTTAAAACTTATTTCCCAATCTAACAATTTGAATCACTCTTCTGTACATACATATTATATGTATTTTACATCAAAAATACCAAAAGTCATGTGTACAAAAAATATTTCCTTTAGAAATTCTTTTTATAATCAATCTCTTTTTATTAAAAAAGAATTTAGGAAAAAATGTTCCCATATATGCAGGTATATAAATATTTTGAATAGTTAGCTTAAAAGTCATTTAAACTCAAAAATTCGTTTCTGCTACTCTGAAGTTTATTTAACAAAAAATAAACTTAACCTCATAGCAACTCTAACAATTACTTTCCCTCCATCAAGTTGGAAAAGGTTTAGATTTTAAGTAAGAATAAAGTTGTGGGTTCAAGCCCCATTCATGATGAACAATTTTTTGAAGAATGAGTGTCGCATGAATAAAATATGACAATTAATCCTCCCCCCCCCCCTAAATTGTTATCTTAACAGAAAATATTTGTATACATGCATACATATTTCTCTCTTTTTTTTGTTTATTTGATCAAAAAAAAGTCATCCCTTTTTTATTAATAAATTTACCTTATCAAAAGCATTGGCAATGAAAACTGATGATAACTTCTTTACTTTTTAAATATAAAACATGCAAATAAAAATAAAAGTAACAAAACTAAACACATGATAAATATAAATAAATTCTTTTTTAGATATTCCCACGTTATTTTTAATAAATGCCCTGTTCTTCCCAATTAATTTCTAATGGCGATACTTTAATTACAAATAATACTTCTGTTAACAAGATTAAAGTCCTTTATCATTTAGGGATTACTTCGGAAAATACTAATTTTTCTGCAGAATATGGCGATGTTAAGGTTGGGAGGTTTAATTTAAAACAAGTCCTCCTAAATATGGGGACAAAAGCCCTACTATCTAAAATGTCAAAGTTCAAAACACTCTTTAGTTTGTCTGTTTGGGAGGAAGTTACACAAGAATTCGTAATTATGCAAAACAGTTCTCACAACTTTATGGATATCAGGCTAGCAATAATTTATGTAAAACAGACAGATATGAAATGTACAAAACTGGACCAGTTCTTTGGGCAAATGTGAGAGAGAGCTTTAATTAATTAATTTCTCTCTCAATCTTTAATTTAAAGCACGGAATAGGCGGCCCTTCTCTTTCAATTATACTTGATGAAATACTCCAAATGCTTTTATGTACGGGCGCTACAAATTTTGAAATGTTTAGACTTGGAACTAGCGGTGGAATTGGGGTGCAGCCAGGGACTGTTATTGTATCAAATGGAGCAATTAATACAGCTTTGGAGCCATATAGATATCAATGGATTGGAGGAGAGTTGGTTAGAATTAATTTTGAAAAAATGGTTGTGGCCTCCCCCCTAATGTCCTCATGAACAAACCCCCCCCCCCTTGAAAATGGCCAGAACCCTAGAAATTCTCATAACGGGCAGATACCAAAATAGTCAACTATTTAAAGGTCAAACGCCCTGCTATTTTGGATCAACAATTATGCGATCAACTTTACCTCATTGCTCAACAACAAAAAGTGCCAGTAGTAAAAGGAGTAACACTTTGTGCTGATGATTTTTATGAAAGTGAGAGAGAGAGGGATTTTAATTTGAAAAATAATTAAAATTTATTTTATAAAAAGGCCAATATCGAGGAGAGGATGGATATTTTTGTGATAACAATAACAACCAAAAAATGGATTCCATGAATAAACTTATTGAAAAGGGAGTCAAAAATATTGAGGTGAAATTAAGGAAAAATTTCAAAATGTCAACTTTCAAATGTCCAAAATAATATTTTTATTTTAAACAGATGGAAAGTGTTTATTTCGCTGCTATCACATATCGAGCCAAAATCCCTGGTAAATTTTAATTTTAAAAAGTCCCGAAATCTCTAACAGATATTTCTGTAATATTTCTTTAGGTGCAATTTGTTGTGTTGCCCTAGTCAACCGATTTGAAGAAAATATTATAAAAATGTCAAAAGAATTTCATGAGGAAGCAGAAATGCGCCCATTCAAAATTATTTGTGAATATATTTACAGGAAATTAAATTTAAAAAATGGAAAAGAAGAGGAGGAGAATAACATATCTTTATAAGTTGTATATATTTTTACTTCTCTCATTCCGAACATAAATAGGAGGAGGTTGGGTTAAGTGGGGAAGTGCATATTTATGATAGGATAACTAGAATAAGAGATTGGTATAAGTATGGGATGAATGAGTAAGTTTTATGTTTCGTTCTCAAAATGTCAACTTAATCAACATCTAGCCACCGTATTTCTCAAAAGTTTTTCGAAAAACTGACCTCCAGCAGATATTTTAGAGAAACTAAGGAATTAAAAATTAAATTTTTGATTATTGCCATTTTTAAGTTGTAAACTAGCTATATATGTATATTTAAATAATTTTTAACACGTTTTACAAAATTAAATGATTTTTTCTTGTTCAAAAGTAAAATACCCTTTCTTCAAAAATTCAACAACATGTTGCACAAAAAGTGCTGGTCTTTCTGAATGTACCCTAAAATTAAAAATAATAAATTTTATTCAAATAGTAAAATATTTATTTTTTTAATTTTAGAATGGAGACATTTTGTTCCATCAAACCAAATTTTAATTTAATAAAAATTATTTTTTGGAATTATTTTTTAAATAAAAATCGCCTAAAGGTATTCTAACACTAAAAATTAAAAAAAAAATTTCGACTAAAAATATACCTATACTAATTCAATTTATAATTTTTGGACATTTTGTCCCAATTGTTTTTTTTTTCGAAAAAATTTTTAAAATGTATTTTTTGAAATTTATTTTACTTAAAATTATTTATTCCCAAAATTTCATCCATTTAAAATAAATTTCCAAATAAATCCCTTACCAATGTCCAGCACCTCTAATTTCCACAAATTCAGCATTTGGAAATATTTTCATAATTTCTTCTTTATCCCTCTCCACAATTAAATATTCAGACTTCTTTCCAGCAATAAATAAAGTTGGGCATTTTTGTTTTAGTAAATTATTTATTTTAATTGAATAATTTAATAAATGGTCTAAATTTAATTCTAATGAAGTTAAATTACATCGCCAATGGAATGGGCCACCTCTGAAAATAATTTTAATTAAAAAAATATTTAAAAAATTTTTTTGGCTTTTTTAAATTTTACAAAAAATGACAATTTTCAAAAAAAATTTCAAACCTCGGTTTAAACAAATTCGTCAAAAGAAAAGCTCTAATATCATCATCAACAATTTGCTTTTTCAAATATTTATCAATTTCAGACCTAGTTTGGTGCAAATCCACAGATTTTAAAGCATTAATAAATTCAGAATTATTTGAAGTTGGAGTTGAAGTTTTGGTGGGGGAAATGTCTTCAATTATTAATTTCTCGAGTAGAGGGGTAGAAGACTGGAAAAATAAATTTAAAAAAAATATTAATTTTGGAAAAAATTGGAAATCAAAAAGTTTTTGATTTTGACAGAATGCCCCAAAAATAAGATTACAGGTTTTTAAAGGAAAAATAATTTTAAAAAATCGAAATTAAAAAATAAAAAAATAAAATTGGAGGTAGAAAAATAAAAAAATTGATTACCAAAAATGTAAATACAAATACCCCTTATGAAAATAAAGCCAATACTTCTTAAAATTTGAAGAATGCATTTAAAGTAAACAAGAGGGATGGGAAGGTTGAGAAAATAGCTCTAGTCGGTTTTCAAAAATTTTTCTTCGGATTGGGTTGAGCTAAAAATTACGGCCCCATCCCCCTCTGGTTAGAGGATGGGGCCCAACAAGGAGCCAAGAAATTAGAAAACAAAACCTCAGCATCCTGCAAACTAAATTCTGCAGACATTTTCCCTCCCATTGAATGCCCAAGCAAAAAAACAGTTTTAAATCTAGAACGGCTCAAAACTTCTTTTCGAATAAATTCACGTAAATCCGCGGCCATTAGCTGATAACTACATTCTGAGGTATGCGGAGATTCTCCATGATTTCTCTAAAAAGTAAAATTAGGAACCCCCAAAAAAATTTGAGTAAAAAGCTCATAATGGTCAGTAATTTTTTTAGTAAGAAGTGAAAGAATCCAAGTGGCCATAGGCTTGGTCAGAAAGTAAACGAATATGTATGGAATGAAAAAAAATTCAAGATTTGGCAATTAAGACTCTGGCCCCTTTTTAAATGAAAAGCAAAAAAAAATTTAGAGATAGGAGAGGATGGGGTGATTAGTCCAGTCTTTTAAAATTAAATAAAAAATCCAAACCATATCGACAACAAACACAAAATTATCAAGTTCCCTTTGCAAAGCTTTAGCCACTGAACGCCAATTTTGTTTATGCCCAAAAATGCCGTGTGTAATAATTAATGGATTTGTTGCTTCGATTTTATCTTCATTTCGTTTAAAAGTGCCCAAATGTAAATCGTAAGCCAAATTTACTGTTGAAAGTTGTTGATGGTCTTTTTGGGGAGTTGAAATGTCTGAACAAAATGAACGAGATAATAATATTCTTTTTAAAAATTTGAAGTATAAATGAGTGGTAAATGAATTAGAATATAAGGAATAAGTCATCTTTTATCTTAAAAATGAAAAAAAAACTCGAAAAACAGTCAAAAACAAGCTAAAATTCTGTCTCCGGTTAGACTAAATTTTACCCCTTTGCACTCTCTTTGTAATAGAAAAATAAAATACCTTTTTCAACAAACTCCAACCGGATACAACCTGCCACTTCGAGTTGTATGGCCGGGTACAAAGCAAAACTGAGTACCCTAATCATACACAAGTACAAGTACCGCCCGCAGGCTACCGAAGCGAGGAACCGGCGTCTGCTAAGGCTTGCATCAACCCAACATTTTCTCTTTTTTATTTACGGTTCTTCCCAAATCAAAAATTTTAGATAAGATGTAAATTCTTTCTCTCACTCTCTAAATTCTCAATCATCTTTCAACATTTTCTCGTTCCCTACTTGAAAAAACTTAAAATTCATTTCTTATTCGACGAAATGTCAAATTTTACTCCTTGTACCATTTTTGTTTTTGGCAAAATGTCCAGTTTTAAAAATAAATGAAATAATATCCCCGGTCACTTGACAACGCGTTTTAAAATCGATCATTGATTGCCTGTCTTTAAGTGTATTTGTTTGGCTTACTTTAGAAATTTTTAAAATTTTCTAGGGCTTCAAATTTTTGATTTTTACGGTTTTTCTGATTTAGTCGGCTAATTTTAGCCAAATTATTTTAATTTCGCCTTCCCATCCCTCAGAATTTTTCCAAATTTTTATTAAATTTTTGGCTTTCTTATGACCCTAATTTTCAGTTTTGTGCCAAAACGTCTTTTAGAAAAATGAGTACGCACTCAAATGCTCGAAATATCGGTGCCTGTTCCTCTTCCTCACAAATTCAAGAAGAATATATTGTTGTAGATGATCAACACCAACATCAACAACAACAAAGAAATCAACGTATTTTAATTTCTTCAAAGCTTGAAGAAGCAGTGGGAGGAGAATATGGTCAATTAAATTATCAACAACAATATTCTGATGATTTTGAAATTTGTGATGAAATTGTGGTTGATGCTGAAGATGGGGAAGATGGACGTGTTTTGGTTACAGTTCCAGTAGGTTCTTCTACTTATGACAATTATGGGCAGTTTGCAGAAGATCTTTTTTTGGATGAACAAATGCATGGGAAATCTAATGTCCGTTCAATGAGTGCTAAACGAGTAAGGGTTTTTTGTCGAATTTTTAAATAGTAAGGGTTCCGTCGGTGATTAATCTGGTCTCTACAAATGAGTAGGCGCCAAAAAATTGTCGGGACCCGGATTCTTAAAACGATCCGGCGCCAATTACCAGCTAACAGTCATTGTTAATTATTCTGAAATGGCGTTATGGAGTTTTCGCAATTCCGAGAGCATTATTTTAACCCGAGCTTTTCTTTTTGACTTTTGGGCAATGGTTATTGTTTCCGTTAAAGAGTTTTCTTGATGAAATATCTCCAATCCATTGGTACTTTTTTTTTATAAATTTTCATTTTGTCTTATTGAATTCTCGACTTCTTATTTTAAGGTTAAAAAAGGCTTGGAAAGTAAGGAATTATTTCGAGTTCCAATTTACAAGGGAAACACTAAATATGGAGCTGGTTATGATCGTTTAGTTAATTTTGATGGCTCTACTACTGATGTAATTCTTAATTTTAAAAGATATTTTTTTTAATTTTAAGTTAGACTGTTAGGCTTCAGAAAAATTTTTAAAAAATTAAAAAAATTTTCATTGAATTAAGCTTTTTTTCTAAAAATTTCTATTTCTCAAAAATATCATTATTTTAGCACTACATTTGCAAAAATTATGATCAATGCGGAAAAATTTTTCATCGTCGCTATTTGGATGCTCTTACGTATTTCTTATTTAAAATTTTCTTTAAAAAAATTTATTTTAAGCACTCATATGCAAACATGCCGTAATAAAAATTTAATTAATCCAGAAGAGTGTAATGCCAATGCTTGTAAAGCACTTGTTGCTCGTTTGGTAGTTCAAGAACCAACGGCTTTGACTTTGCTTACAAGCCGTTTTTATTTGGAATTTATGGAGGAATTGTCAAGAATTATGTAAGGTATTTTTGAGGGTTAATGTTCTAAGAATTTTTCTTGCCATTTTTATTTATAAGAAATTTTATGTAATTCCTATTGATTTTTTGCGGACTTTTTCGTTTAGTTGTCGAAATAATTTCACATTCAGAGAAAAAATCCACAAAAAAAACTCAAATTATATTTCAATTCTTTCTCTATTGTTTCTATTTTTTGGAAGAAATCTACAAGTTTAACCAGAATTGCACAAAATTTTCGTAAAATCTAAAATTTTTAGAAAATTTCCTGTCATTATGAGTGTTTTTTATCTCGTTTCATCCGAAAATTTATTTTATTTCACTCCGAAACGAAACGAAATTTTTTGTTTCGTTCCGAAACAAAAGGGAAAAATGGGCATGAAATATCGAAACCAGCCCTGATGGAAGATGATAAGAGCTCGTTCCCTCCTGTTTATTTCTCTTCCCGATTTCCTTGTCATAATGAATTTTTTAGTATTTTGCGTCAAGGTATTGGAATGCCTATAGGAAGAGATGTTTTGCCTCGTCACCGGGATTTAATAAATGAATTAATGAGATTTTTACATGAAGATGAAGTGACTTTACTTCCTTCAATTTTGCATGAAATGTTTCAAAATGGTTTTGCTTTAGAAACTCTTCAAATGAATTTAAATGATTCTTCAACTGGAGGATGTTATAAAGTTTTGTTAGCTACACATATAAGCAATTCATGGTTTTTTCTTTAAATATTTGTTGCTGACAATAAGTGAAGAAGCGTAAAAAATTGGGAATTGGAACCCGATAAACGTGTAGAACGTTTCTTGGACTTATCTGCTTATAGCTTTTTAAAAAGTAATCTGACTTGATCCGTCAAGCTGAAAAAAGATACCGCTTATCGAGGTCTTTCAATGATATAAGATTCATTTGGATTAGATCAGTAAGCAAATGGTTATGTTCGGCCAAAGCCGAGTAGTACTCAATTGGCGGTATCAACTCTCGTTTTTAGATATCGTTTTCAAAGACAAGATACTGGCCTGAAATTCAAAAAATTGTTGACTGAATTAGGCCCAGGAATCTTAAAAAAACCTGTCTTTTCATTAACATAAGTTATAGCCTATCAGAAAAGAAAGCCCTTGACAGAAGCCCTTGACAAAGAGAAATTTTTTTGAGAAATCTAGATATGGTTCAAGATCTTGCATAATTTTTAGTTTTTCTGAATAGGTTAGGGATGTATTAACAAGGAGAGTTTGCGAGGTGTCCGAGCTAAAAACGGTCGAGACCGGGCTCATTCGATAGAGAATGTGCCCTTTGTAGCAAGGAATTTTTGCCGTTTTTGAAACAAGAAACAAAAAAAATTATTAGAAACAATTAAAAATATTAGAAACAAGTAGATAAAAAAATAAAACCCAAAAAAGAATCGAACTTTTTAGAGAAAAAAGGCAATGCAAGCACACTCACCACTACATCACAACGCCAACAAAATAAATGCATTATTTAAAGTTTATATTTGGAAAGGGAAAAATTGTGCCAAATTTTGGGACTTTGGCGGGCCATATCTTGGCCAGATCAAAAAACGGGCAAAAACGGCAAAAATTCCTTGCTACAAAGGGCACATTCTCTATCGAATGAGCCCGGTCTCGACCGTTTTTAGCTCGGACACCTCGCAAACTCTCCTTGTAAATTTAATTTTTAAAATTAAATTTTAAAGGGAATTAGTAAGAACGGTTATTAAATTTTATCCAATATCTGATACAATAATTACTGGAGATTCTTGTATTAAACCATTAAGACAACTTGTTACTCAATTTGTTGACAAAGGAAAGGAAAAACAAAAAAATTTATTGGAAAAGTTTCATATAGTCTCTGAATTTGAACAAATGGAAGATGAAGACGACGATGCTGAGGAAAATGAAAAGGTTTTTGAAAGAATTTTTTTGAGCTTGTTAGTTTTCTGTGGATAGAAATTAAATCCGTTGGGAATTTTAAAAAATCCGTAAGCAGGCATGTATTCACCTTCCTTTCTTGGCTCTGTGGTCGACCGTAAATCATAAAAGATTTTGAGAAGGTTTCTAATGAAAATGGGAGAGTATTTTATACAGAAACTGAACTTTTTTTCTAGAAATCTAATTAATTTTAACTATCTTAAGGGATTGCGTCATCCCTGTTTATTAACATTGTTGGATTCTGTTGCTGATCGACTCTTTTCTGAACCTTTGCCTATTAAATCAAATGATTTTGATGTTAAAAAGTTGGTTAAAGTTCGTGAATTGCTTCGTTCTTTAAGAGAATTTGCTGAACAAACAAGGTTTAATATTAAACCAAAGAATCCTTTTCTTGGATATTCCCAAATAATAACAATTCTTTTAGTCGTAGACATTGCATGTCCTTATAAACATACCTAAAATCTTTTAACTTTAATTTTAACAATTTTTTAGACGTTATAAAGACCTTCGTTCACTTCTCTCGCCTCGTTATACATCAATTAATGGAAATTCTCGTTTACTTTTAATGCTTCAATTATCTAGAAGATGGGTTTCTTCAATTGAAAATATTTCAAAGGTTTTGCATCAAACAAAAAATTCTTTAATTAGAGCACTTTGTGCAATTCATTCTGATATTTTTGAAGAGAAAAATGTTACGTTTTTGTGGAGTTATGTTAGAGTTATGGAAGCTTTTGAAATGTCTATTGTTGATTTGGAAACTGTGGTAAAAATTTATAAAAAAATTTTTCTAGGCTCATTTAAATAATTTAAAGCACAAGTTTAAATTTTGCCTTTAGGCAGGCTTCGAACCTGCAACCCCTGATAGTTTTATTTTGATTGGTCTAACTATTTTCAGATTTATTAGGAGGCCTATTTTAATAGGACTATAAAGTGAAAATATTTTCCGGTACTATATTTCCCTCAGAAAACCCAAAATTCTCGGTTTATCGGTCTATTTCGGTTGGCTGAAGATTTTGGTGAAATTTTTTGGAGTATAAAGTAGAAGAACCAAAAATTTCTTTAAAAAATTCTTTTCAGTCAGCAGACAAAACTCCAAATTCAAATTTAATTTTATTTATTCTTCTTGGACTAAACAAACGTTTAAATGTTTTGAAAGATTCTACAAAACATTTAAAAAATTGTGACTTTGAAACGTTAAAATCTTTGGTTAATTTTGCTTTAAATAAATTGGAAAAAGATTTTAAAACTTATATTGATAAAAGAATGGCTTTATGTGCTCTTTATTGTGATCCAATGGGGTTAAATCATATTGGAGATTTGTCTGATTTTTGTACCATGGAGGAGGTTTTTTTATTTTTTTATTAAAATTATTTTGTGATTGAAAATATTTTGAAACCCAAAAATAATAAATAAATTCTGATTGAAAAATTTACTTTGCTGAATTTTTTGTTTGTTTTTATTGTATTAGACTGTAAATCCAGGGTCATACATATTTCAAGGGGTACAGCTCCTAGATATGTCCTTGGTATTACGGGTTACGGGCCAAAATGTTGGCGCATATTTCATTTTAGATCCCATGATTGCTAGCTCTATAGTTAAAAAAATTTTTAAGTCAGAATTTCAGAGTGCATTTCAATCTTTAAAAAAATCTCGAAAATTTTTGCGGATAAAATTTGCGGACATTTTCTGCATAAACTATTTTTGTATTAAAATTACCCGAAAATTTAATCCGCAAAATTTTTTTGACAAGGAATTTAATTTTTCAAAATTTTTTAAAGGTCAAGAGTGTTGTTTTGGTTGAATTGGAACATTTATTAGAAAATTCAAATTTAACAACCTCCCAAACATCAATCTCATTAGATGGTGTGATAACAGAAAATAATAATAAAAATGGACAACAACAAAATAGTTCTTCTTCTCCTTGGTTAAGTTATACAGAAGAAGCACAACATTATGAACAATTAACGATTGAAGAAATTTTTGAAACACTTGAAATTAATGGGGTTGCGGGGATTAAAAGAGATCCGAAAAAATATAATCCGTTGGAATTTTGGAATGTTTATGAAGAGGTTTGCTCTGTTTTTAATTTTGGCACTACCGCATTATCTCCTTGGAATTTTTTTTCCGTTTATTTTTTCCTAGAATTTCAAAAAATAGCACATAGTGGTAAATGAGAACGATTAATTTTTAGTAAAAAGGGAAATAAAGGGGAAATGAGAGGGGATAATGTAATTGTGTTAGTTTATCTTTAATTTTTTTTCAATATTTTTAAATTTTTAACGGGGAAAATGATGAAAACCCAGTCACACTTAAGTCTGAAACTAGTCGTACTTTAATATGTTCTTGTTAACATACATATATGGGTTTTTTGACTTGTATATTAATGAATTTTACTTTAATAATTAATAAATGGGGTCTCAGATCCAGTTTTTATTAAGTCCAGGAAAAATACAACAAACTATTGTTTTAATTCCCAGATATAATTTTAGATATATCCATCAATTGCTCGTTTAGCAAAAAAATCATTTGCCACAAATGCAACATTAACTGGGGCTGAACAAATTTCACGTCAATTAGCTCCATTAGCCTCTTCATTATCATTTCAATTTAAAAGTGGAGAATTAATATCTAGAATGATTAGAATTCATTCAATTTATAAAAACAAAGAAAGTTTAAAACCAATAAAAAATAAAATGTTAATTTTTGAAAATCTGAGAAAAAGGCCACCACCACAGCCACAACAATCACAACAAAAACAGCCTCAACAACAACAAAAACAACAAAACTCTATTGAACAACAAAAGAAAAGAGATAAAAATGTAGTAGAAATTACGGCTCCCATATAAAATCTCTATTCCTTAAAATCGCTATTCCTTAAAATCTCTACTAATCTAAAAATGCTTAAAATCTCTATTCCTTAAAATAACTATTCCTTAAAATCTCTACTGGGGTAAAAATAATTAAAATCTCTACACCGTGCAAATGGATGGTAGAGTCTCAACAAAAGTGTAAAATTTGAACTTTTCATTGGAAAACCCAGACTTGGTAATGGATACGGATATGGATACAATTGATTTAAAAATGGCTGCGGATATCTTCTTGTATCCGCCGTAAATATCGAAGATATAATACACGACTGCTTCGCTGCGGTCGTGTTCATTTTTCTTGCGGTGATCGTATCGAAGCGGCTGCTGTCGTTCCGCTGGACATGCCTGGGTTCATCCGCAGCGGCAAAAACAATACAAGCAAAATAATATCAAAAGATAAGCCAGAAATCAGAACAACGTTTCCGCACTGAACGTTGGCACTCAAAAGTCTTCCGAATGAAAAAATAGACATTTTATCCTATTTTTGGCCTGTAGAGATTTTAAGGCGTTTTACCCGTGTAGAGATTATGAGGAATAGAGATTTTAAGGAATAGTTATTTTAATAATTTTTAGCCGAGTAGAGATTTTAATGCATTTTAGCTGTGTAGAGATTATAAGGCATTTTAGCCCAGTAGAGATTTTAAGGAATAGAGATTTTGAGGGGATACGGAAATTACAAGAAAAAGAGTAGCAAATTTTGAAAGAGAAGAAGAGGAGGAGGAAGACGAAGAAGTTGAAGAAGAAGAGATTGAACAAGAAAAAATTTTGAAAAAGAAAAGTAATAAATCTGACTCTAATATTGCTATTTAACAATTTTATTTTTGTTTTTTTCCTGTTTTGCATAAAGTTTATTTAAATGGAATTTCCTGGGTATCCTTTCGGTTTGGGGTTAGATGGGCGCTTGCCAAGGAAGTTAGGTAATTTTTGTCCAAACGGGGCTAGTCTTATGTGGGAAGTCAAACAAAAATTAGACGCCTTTCATCAAACTCCAACCGAATACAACCTAATCCCCTGAGTGGTACCGACGCTGGCCCAAGTGGGCTTGCGGACGGCGGGGAGGGAAACGGCGCTGCGAAATGACGTCCAATAAGCTTGATTCTTTTCTCTCTTATATTTTATTTTCTTTTTTATTTTTAAAAATTGTAGATAGGGTGTAATCGACAGCTAGTGATTTATTCTCTCTTGAATTTTTCCTCTGACTTAGGAGACTAAATTTTAGTTGAAAAATAGAAATAACGCCTTTCAACAAACTCCAACCGGATACAACACTTCAATAGTGCCATCTTGAAGTACGGGAACCGACGTCTGACATGAGAAGTGGCATCTTTATGCCCTTTTCTTTTTCTCAATATTTTTTTTGTTAAAAATTTATGATGGGTTGTCACACACAAAAATTAGACGCCTTTCATCAAACTCCAACCGAGTACAACCTACTCCCCTGAGTGGTACCGACGCCGGCACAGTGTGCTGGTGACAGTCCAACGATACAACGTACCCCCAGTGAAAGTAGCAAAGCATACGACCACCGGTTTCTCAAAGGGAGGGAAACGGCGCCTGCGAAATGGCGTCCAATAAGTTTGAATTTTTTCTCTCTTATATTTTATGTTCTTTTTTATTTTTAAAAACTGTAGATAGGGTGTAATTGACAGCTAGTGGTAGTAGATATTTATTCTTTCTTAAATTTTTCCCTTTGACATTAGAGACTAAATTTTAGTTGGAAAAAATAGAAACAACGCCTTTCAACAAACTCCAACCGGATACAACCTAACACTTCAATATTGCCATCTTGAAGTGCGGGAACCGGCGTCTGAGAAATGGCATCTTTATGCATCTTTTCTTTCTCTCATATTTATGTTGCCTTTTATTGCTAAAAATTTTTGATGGGGTGTAAAATTTTATATTCTCCCTCTTGTTTATTTTTCCCCTCTATTATTTTTTTTCACTTCCTTTAGTTATAAAAATATTAGTTAATACCGAGACTCTAGTTGCAAACTTGGAAAAAAAACGGTTAAGGACGATTCAGTATCGCCGATTCAGTCTCGCCGATTCAGTATCGCCGATTCAGTCTACGCCGATTCAGTATCCGCCGATTCAGTATTCGCCGATTCAGTATAGCCGATTCAGTATACGTGGAAAAGGGGACGATTCAGTATACGTAGAATAAAATACCCTAAAAATAGAAATTTTTGGAAAGGAACTGATTTATTTTTTCGTTTTAAGCATTTTCTTTGTTCTTTAGGTGGTCTACCATAACAATTAGCAATAACCAACAACAATTATTAACGAAAAAAATAATTTTTATGGAAAATTTAGAATTTTTTTTAATTTTTTAAAATTTTTAAATTTCTTCAATTTTCTTAATATCTCAAGACGGCGAGAATTCTACAGGGAATGGCGAGGTTTCTACTACAAACACATGGTTTATTTTTTAGTTTTTTGGCTTTTTGAAATTTTTTTTATTTTCCCCATTATGTACAAGGGGAAGCTATAGCCCCAGAAGCTCCCTGGCCGTTATCCGTACGAATTTTTACGGGCTTTTTGCGGAGATTTCTTACTTCCCAATTCCACTCCCCATTCCATTTTTTATTTTTAAAATTTTTGTAATTTAAGACAATCCAGTCCTGGACTTGTTTTTATTTGTGTCGAGCAGCTTGCTGTTGAGATGGTTGCCTGGTCCTCTTTAGGGCCTGGTCCTCTTTACTTAATCGGCGAATACTGAATCTAATAAGTGAAATGTAGACCTTGTTCTTATTTATTTTTTGATAAATTTTTGTTTATTTGACTCATTTTTTAAAAAATTTTTGTTCCCCGAAGAAAAAAAGTCGAGACCAAAACTTCACCCTACGCCAGAAAAAGCCTAAGAGAAGCCTAGAATTAAGACTTGGCTAGCTTTAAAGATGTTCTATAGATCGTAGAAAGTAAGAAACACGAAAAAAATCTACAAGAAAAAAGATTTTCTAGCCCAAAAATATACGAATACTGAATCGTCCCCTTTTCCACGTATACTGAATCGGCTATACTGAATCGGCGAATACTGAATCGGCGGATACTGAATCGGCGTAGACTGAATCGGCGAGACTGAATCGGCGATACTGAATCGTCCCCTACCCGAAAAAAAATGTTAGAGATTTTATTTTCGATTTACACCACATACAAGATTTGTTTGGATTTAAGAGAACTTAAATAAAAGGGAAAAATAGAGGGAATCTGACAACGCCTACACCGATGGTTGGATGGACTTGGAATTGAATCGACTTTCACCAGGAATTTATTTTTATAACATTGAGTCTTGAAGTTATTCTTTAATTTTTTTTCGTTTTAAATTTTAGTGAAATTTAAAAAAAATTTTTGTTGAATGCGTCACGCAGTTGTAAAAACACAATTACACAAAGCAGTTAAATCTGCATCAGAAAAAGCTTTGGATATTATTGAAGCAGCACCAAGAATTCGATTAAATAATTTGAGAGACAATCCGGGGGCTAGAACTGAGGTTTTTTTGTTTTTTTTAATTGGAAGAAATATTTCTTTTCAAAGGGAAGACAAGTAAATGCTCAAGCACACAATCAAGCTGGACATACAATTGGAGAATTACAACACGCAGCAAAACCCCCAGCAGGATGGGTTTGGGGGGACTTTTTTAGACCGTGGCACAGAATGTTTCCTGGAGATAAACAATTTAATGGGGATATTAAGTTTGTGTTTTGTTTTTTATTTTTGGGGTTTTGGGAGGTTTTATTGAGTGTCATGTTAACTTCATTTAAGCATTTTTGTTTGATGATCACTTTGGTTAAGTGGAAAGCTTTTAGGTTTTAAGCTTTATTTTCTTCAGGTTCGAATCCCATCACAGGATATCATTTTTCTATTTATTTGGAATGATATATCAACCACTTTTTTGATTTATCTTTACTTTAAAAGCTAGCTTTTGTCAAAATTGCTTTCAAAAATTTTAAATTTTAGAAAAATTCATTTTTAGCCTTCGTCGCGAATATATTCCACTCTCTTTAATTGAACTTCAACGAATTATTGATTTGGGATGGTTAGATACAACCAGACTTATTGATGTTTGTGCTCTTTGTGCAACTCGGTTATTTGATGAAAAATTTGTTCCTAGTGAATTGAGGCAATTTGGAATTGATTTAACTGATGAGGTTTTCTTTTATTTTTTTGGGGGGGGGGGAAACTAGGTAATTTTAGATGGATCAACCCGGTGATTTTGAGGGATCTCAAAAATCTCCTAAATTTGTTATTCTGTATTATTTTCTTTTTTTGAAACTAAAAATTGGTAGAGGTGGTCAGGGTAATAGTGTCGTCCCCATTTTTTCTCCCCAATTTTTTGCCCTATGTTTGTACGGAATGGTCAAATTTTCCCCTTTCTTTCATCAAATTTGCCTTTCCATATTTTGCCTAAAAACAATCAAAAAGATTAATTTGTGATATTTAAAAAAGTAGTAGAGTAACGAGAACAATCATTTTCCCAATTAATAAAAATGGAAGACTGTTGTTGTGAGACGAAAATATGAAAGAGGCAGACAACCATCAAAGAAAGATGTATGGATGATTGGGGGCGTTGAGAGAAACACCAAGCTTTTTGATTGTTTTAGGCAAAATATGGAAAGGCAAATTTGATGAACGAAAGGGGAAAATTTGACCATTCCGTACAAACATAGGGCAAAAAATTGGGGAGAAAAAATGGGGCCTGGAAACGACAACCATGGTCAGTAAAATGGACAGTAAAATATTTATTCTAAACAAGGAGGGGGGAGTGATAACATATTTGATTTGCAGGATTAACTCACAAACAATTTTAGATTTTTCTTCATTATTTTCTCGCTATAATCCTGCCATTTCTCAAAAAAATTTTTTTCCTTTAATCTCAAATTCAAAAAATTACTATTTTTATTAATTTTCAGGGAGAAGAAGTATTTTCTACTCCAATAAATTTGGAAGTTCAATGGGCATCACTCACAGCAATTGCGGCTATTGAAAGGGCTGGTGGACGTATAAGAACAGCTTATTACGATTTGGAAAGTTTGAAGGCTGCAGAAAACCCACAGGCTTGGTTTCGTGCTGGTAAACCAATCCCGAGGCGTATGCACCCTCCACATTCGTTATATGCTTATTATAGTGATCCTGATTATAGAGGGTTTGCTTTTTTTTAATTTTTTGGGTGAAAGGGGGAATTTTGGGGTTGTTTTGGTACAGAGTGACTAGCACAGGACAGAATCCCGTTCTTCTGGTTCGAATCCTTTTGTGTTGGTTTATGTATAGGGTTCACTCAGAAGTTTTGGGATGGCGAAATTTTTTAATTAAAAAGAAATTTAATTTTTTTTTATTTTTTAAAATTTACATATAATTAAAAATTTTTGTCATTTACATAAAAAATAAAAATATTTTTTAAGTTATTTAGCCAATCCAGAAGAAATTGAAAAATCAAAAATTAAATTATCAGAAATACTTGAATATAATTTAAATAAAGAAGAAGAAAACCAACAAAAATATGTTATCGAAGATAAATCTCCAAATCAAGTATTTTTGGGTTTACAACCTGGACAATTAATTAGTTTAGAAGATAAAAAAGTTTTTGAACCAACAAATGAAATGCTTATTAATTATTATAAAGGGGTTGATGGGCCGTTGTCTGATAATGTTAGATAGAAAAAAATATTTTAAAGTTTTTTTGTTAAATTTGTTTTTTTTGATAAAATTTTTTTGCTCATTTTTTATTTTGTTTTATTTGTTTAATCATTTTATTATCTGACAATATTTTTTAAATCCAGTCTTGACAAAAAAACTGGAAAGAGACCGAGATTTTTCCACACAAAATACTTAATCGACGTTTTAACCCATTATGGTATGTCGATATTTTAATGAATCGACCTTTTGATTAGGAACTGTTTTTTCCTTTATTTCCCTTGTCTCTCTTACTTTTACATTGTCTTTTTTTGTTAGATTAAATTTCCAGTTTTTTAAGGTTTTTTTATTTTTTAGTGTTTTTAAATGACTTATTTAATTAATTTTATTCTTTTTTGATTTTTTAGTTAAAAAATTTAAAAATTTGTCTCAGCTTTAATCTTCAACATGTCTTCACATCATGCCAAAATTCGGAATAAATTTGTAATTTTTTTTAAATTTAATTATCAAAATTTCTTTTATTTTTAAAGCGCAAACGTCACCACAATTCCAACGAAGAGGATGAAAATTCTTTAATTGTTTTTGGATATTCTTCCAAACTTCACAAAACTGAAAATATTTTTTCTGTTGGAGATGATTTTCAATCAACTTCCTCGTCTGTAGCTTTTGATGAAAACAAACATTTGATCCCTTGGAATGGAGATGAAGAATTAAAAATTGATAGGTTAGTTGGAAATAGTCAAAAAAGTTGTGTTTATTTAAAATTGTTTGATTGATTTGATGGGAGAGGAAGGAATTTCTTCACTTTTTTCAGGTGATTTTTTTTTATTTTTTTTATTTTTCTTGTCATTTTAAAGATTTAATAGCCTTAAGTCTTTTTATTGTTTTGGTTTTTAATTATTGAGTTCATTTTGGTGTATATTCAAACTGAATCTATTTTTTTTGTTTTTACTGCCCTAATAGAAACTTTCTCTTTTGGTGCAGGACAACATGTCTTTTTGTCATTTGGGGACTCAACTCCCATTTTGATGGCTTTAATCATTTAACTTTAGATTTAGGGGGAATCTAGTCTGATTTTTAAACAGTCAAAATCATTTATTTTTTCGGGATTTCTTTACTTTGGGTCGAGAATCAACAAAATCAATCAATTGAGTCAACAAAAATCTTTTAATAGATTTTTGTTCTTTCTAGTTTACTAAATTTAATTAGATTAAAAAAAGTTACCTGTCTTCTTCACAAATGATCATTGTACGCCTCCAAGTTTTGAGTTGTTTTTTTTTCTTTATTTTTAAATTTATTGTTTATTATAATTTATTTTTAATTTTTTTTTTCAGTGTTTTTCAATCTCGATAGACTCTTTGGTTTTCTAAAAATTTGTTGTGTTACTTTGGAAGTTCATAATCTTCATGCGTAAGTTCAATTTACACATTGGTGTGGGAAAACAAAAAAATTTTCAAATAAATTATTTTTAACTAATTTTTGTTTATTTTTACAAAATTTGATTTTTCAGATACGATGTTCGCCTTTATTTAACATCTCTCGATGAATTTTATAAAGAAATAAAAAATGTGGAAAGGAAAGGAGATGAAGAGGGTAATGACGATAATTCTGCTGAACAACTTGAAGAGGAGCTTTGTGATGAACAACGATATGCTGATTTGTATGCTGATATAAGACAAAAAGAGCTAGGTTTGGGAATTTTTTATTTAAAGTCAGTTTTTCCTCTCAGGGGTAGGAAGGAAGGGAAATTAGATGGGGGTTATTATCTATTAAAATTAGAAGGTCAATCCCAAACTAACAGCAATTTCCGGATGTCATAAAATTCTTCTAATTTTTACAGATGAAGAAAACAAAAATCGTAAACGTGCCGAAATAGGATATCGTTACGATCAACAACAGCCTTCACCTGCTGTAGATGAGGAAGAAGAAGAAGAAGATGAGCCTTATGTAAAACCAATTTCTTTGAAACTTCCTGTTGGAATTGCAACGGTTTTTTAATGATTATTTGATTTCATTTAATATTTATTTTTTGTTTTTTAGCCCGATTCTGTCCGTCAAAATTTATTAATTGAGCGTACTGCCCTCTTTGTAGTCGAGAAAGGTCCTCAAATGGAAGTTGTAATTAAAGCCAAACAGCGTCACAAAGCAGAGCAATTTGGTTTTTTGGATTTTGATCATCGTTTACATCCTTTTTATAAATATTTGTGTAAACAAATTCGAGAGAAAAAATATGTGCCTGAATTGAGGCAACCAACGAAGACGAAGAAAGGTTTCTTTTTTAAAGTTTTAGATGAGAACTTAACAAAACAATTTAATTATTTAAAATCATTTAATAAATTTGGACAACCTGTTAGTTTTATGTTTAAAAATTAAAATTTCGCTGGTAAGGTTCGAATCTACACCGTTCCCTTACTATTATATCCTTTCCATGATTTTTTAACTAACTTTTTTTTCAATTAAATCGACTTCAAAGTTAGACTACTAAATTTTTATCAGCTTTCTTACAATTAGTTATTTTAGAAATTAATAAATACTTTACCCTGACAATGAGTGAGTTCGAACCCACACACTCTCTTCATTTATTAGAATCTTAAACCCTCTATTATTTTTAAATTTTAGAACCAGAATCAATTTCTTCCGAAAGTGATGATTCAAACTCCGATTCAGATGGTGGTTATTTACATCCACTTTTGTGTGGCGATGCTAATAAAAAAACAACGACAACAAAATCAGACACTCCTTCAGAATCTGGATTTATTGGACCATCACAAAAACCAAAACAACAAGCTAAAAAGGCTGCTGATTCGTTAAATAGTGATTTGGATGTGCTTATTCAAAAATTTCATCGTTCTGATGATGTAAGTATTTTAAATTTTGGACTTTTATTTTATACATCTCACTACGCCAAAAAATCTTCTAAAAAATTTCCTTTCAGCAAAGTTCATCCTCATCTTTATATTCTTCATTAATGAAAAGTTTGCATTCTTTAATTCCTGGGCAATCTAAAGAAAATGAAGAGTTGAATAAAAGCAATGAAATTGAGAAGAAAGAAGAAAAAGAAGAGAAGAAAGTTGTAGCCGTAGTAGAAGAACAACCACCACCTTCCAAACCTCAACCACCAGAGATTCTGTATGAAACAGATCAAAATCGAATAAATGGTATATCTTTTAAAATTTTATTATCCTATTGTGGGAAGAGAGTTCATTGAAGACCCCCTCCTTTGAAGATGGCACCCGTCGAGGGGACCTATTCCAGCGCACAACGATTTTTACTTATTTATATCCTTCCTGGAGGCCGGAATTACTTCAAACGGGGTATTTCATGGAATTTCCAGGAAGGATATTTTCGGATATGGCTTGTCTTGACCGAAGGAATTTTCTTTGTCCTTCCAGTTTCTTTTGCCTTTAATTTAAAATGTTTCAATAAAATATTTTTTTAAATTTTTAGATTATAATTTGTGGCATTTGGAATTTTATGGACGTCAGAGTCCTTATTTGCCTGGACCTCCACCTTTTCCTCTTACCCCTGCAACTGATTCTGTTGTCGAATCTGGAATAGCTGTTGCTGCTAAATATGTAGCGTTTCAAGGAGCGGCTGCTGAACAAAAATTGATAGGTTTATTTTTAATAAAATTTTTTTTGTTTCTTTAGTCTAAAAAATGTTCTCAAGTTTTATCCGTGTTCTTTAAGTCGTATTTTACTAAAAGATTTTCATTCAATATTAGATGCATTTTAATTTAAGATTCGAATTGTACCAAAAAATATACTAAATTTGCAGTTACAGTAAAGTCATGTTTTCCTGTTATGTTAATTTTTGTTCCAAAACGCAAACAAATTTTTTAATCCCGAGTTTTATGGCTAGATGCGGTTTTATGATTAAATTAACTTGCGAACTTTTAAGAATATAAAGATCGAAAACATTTTTTAATTTCTAAAAAATATTATTTTTTTAGAACACAATGGAGACAAAGTCCATTTTCTGTCAGCTAGAAGTCCTTATTATACATTTTATCAATCTAAAGTACGCCAACTTCAATGGCAAATATATCAACAACAACAGCAATTCCAAAATAAATTAAATAAAAATTCTCAATTAACACCTTCAGCTTCAACAAAAACAAATACTCCAATGTCTCAACAATTATTAATTAAACAAATAATTAAAGCAGCATCTTCAACAGATCCAATACCTACAGAATTACCTGTTGGAAATACTACAAAAAATAATGGTTATAAAGAAGAGGATGGAACAGACGGAGGTTTTTTTAATATTTTTAAATAATGAAAGAACCCCCTCAGCCCCCATGGCTACGCCTTTGCTACCCATCACTACCGGAAAATTGACTTTAGAAATTTTTCTATATTTTTAACAAAAGACGAAATATCTTTTGATTATAATATTTAAATATTTTTAGATAAAAAACAATTAGAACGTCGTGAAAAAGCTCGCCTCTTTATGGAGAGAATCTTAAACGAAAGAATGGCAGAAAAACATTTTGGAAAAAAACGTTTAAAAGACGGTAAAATATTTTTTTAATAAATCATTTCTTTGCAAATTCTTGGAACTTGAAAATTCTCTAACTTGGAAAAAAATTTTTATTTTTAGGGAATAAATTGCCAGTAGAACCACCAGGAATTATTTCATCCCCAATAGTACTTTCTGATACAACAAAAAATGAAAATGAGGAAGAAGAAAATAAAACAGCAACAACAATTTCACCATTTAATCTATCAAAAACAATAACTTCAATGATTGATATGCATATTAAAAAAACTTTTGGAGGAGAGGCTTCTTCTACTCCAACAAGGTTATTTTGGATATAGTTAATCTTTTAAAACTTTAATTTGAAAAAATGTTTAATATTCGATAACAGATATTTTTGGACAGTTCTGATTTTTTATTATAAAAATTAGCTTTTCGAATCCTTTAAGCTTAAGGAATGTTGTTGCTAGTCGTTATTAGCCAGTAATCGTTTATTTTCAAAAATTAGGTTGTGTCTTTAAATGCGAATTAATTTAACGAACCTAGGATTTGACTTTAACTTTTTTATAAAAATCATTTTCAAGTTCCTGAAGCTATTAATTGTGTAATTTTTTTCTCTTTGGAAATTTTTCCTTTAGCGCCACGAGATATTACTATATTTTACGTTTTATAAAATAGTAAAAATCTCCTTCGGTTTTCGAGGGATTCCTTTATTACATTTTTTTAATTTTTTAGAAGAACAGGAAGCGATTATGCCGATAATTCTCCTCGAGATGATTATGAAGATATCCCAAAACGTAATAAAAAAGAAAAACATAAGGAAAAGCGAAAAAGAAAGAAAAGAAGGGAGAGATCAACAACACCCTCATTATCCTCAAAACATTCTAATGACGGGTCAAATTCTGAGGAAGAAAAAGAAAGGAAACGACGCAAACATAAACGGCGTAGAGAAAGGTATATATTTAGCTTTTTTTTGGGAATTTTATAAAATTTGGAGAATTTTAGAATAAAAACTTGCGGACAAAAATTTGCGGATTTAAAATTTTTATCCGCATTTTTTGCGAATTTTTTTGAAATTTTTTGAGGGAAAATTGAGAAATAAAACTCGTTTAAAAATAATATTTTTTTTATTAAAGATCTTTTTTATTAAAGTCGTCATCGAAAACATCATCACCGCTCTTCTCGTCACCGTTCATACTCATCATCATCCAGTCGTTCTCGTTCTCCCAAATATTCGAGGAAAAGTAAGGAGGATAGATAAACAAACTGACTTTTTTTTCTTTTAACGGGCAACTTTAATTACTCTCAAATTCAAAAAAATATTTTGAAAGAAATTCTCGATTTTATTCACAAAACTTGAACCTCATTTTTAGATTCACTCAATACAGACCATTTACCATTGTGTATTTGGGAACTGTTTACCCTCAATTTAAGATACACCTCAATTATCTAGAAACAAGGTTCGACTTTATCTTGTTTAATGTGAAAAATTTTTGCGGATACATTTGCGGGCAAATTTATAAAACTTAAAACGGTATATTTGGTTAAGAATTAGAAGGAAGTTACAGGATATACCTATAGAAAGAGTTTACCGGATATCCGTAAATGTTGATCAGCAAAAGAATTTTCCTATCCCCAAAATAATATTGTTAGAAAAAAATTTTTGTTCTCTTCTGTCAGTTTTATTTTTTTTTAATATAAAAATCTTAAAAAATTTAAATTTTATATTGAACTTTTTTAAAAATTGTTTTAAACTTTTTTTTAATTATATTTTTAAATGCTAATTTTGTTTTTCAAAATTGTTTAGGCGTTTTTTAATTAAAAATTTTTTTTTAGATTTAAATTTACATGTTAAAAAGAAGAATATTATTTTTATTCTTTTTCTTTTATAAAAATTAATTTACAAAAAAAAAAGATTTTGTAATGGACAGATTGCAACCGATTCACTATTTTGGCATTATTGTTGTCTTCTTGCTAGCTACTCTTGGATTGAAGGCTATTTTTGCTCTTTTACTTGTTTTACTTGCTTTTGTTGTTGGGTTTGTTTTATTTTTAATTGATTAGGGAAAGTTATGGGGGAAGGGCAGCTTGAAGGTTTTAGGGTTGTCTGGGTTTGCGGGCAAAATTATTTTTGCGCACAATATTTTTAGAGTATTTTACAAGAAATAAAATGTAGAATAAGGATATACTTTAGCCGGTGGCCCACTCAGAAACGGGACAAATTATATACCATTCGATTCGTCTCGGCGAGCTGAGTCGAATGGTACCATTCTTTTTTTGCGGAAATTCCTACGAGCCGAGATATAGGTCCTTGAAAACCGAAAAACCATAGGGGGGAGTAAGCACAATTTTGGGGTGAAAAATTCGATTTTTTAAATGATAGCTCATTCGAAAGAGCTCCTCGAGCTGAGTCGAATGACACCAAAATCAGCGAAATCCGACTTGATTTGACCGAGATATAGGCCCCTAAAAACCGAAGATCAAAATGGACGATTTTTGGAATTAAAAATTTTTTTACACATATAATAGCTCATTCGAAAGAGCTCGAAGTGCTGAGTCGAATGACACCAAAATTACCGTGATTGAGTAAGTTTAGACAAAGTTACAACACAAAAAACAATCAACATAAACCTATGGGGTGTCGGCAAGGCGCTTGTGCAAAACCCCGCGCTTCGCGCGGGGTTTTGCGGCACGCGCCTCGCGGGGAGTCTACGGGTGCTGGGTCTGGGCTCGTAACAAAAACCTATGCCTATTTTAGCTGGTCGGCATGTCTGGCTTCTTCCCCAGCAACAAAAACCTGCACGTAGACCAAAGGTAAGGAGCTAAAACAAATGATCATAACTTTGTCAAATCAAGTCGGATTTCGCTGATTTTGGTGTCATTCGACTCAGCTCGAGGAGCTCTTTCGAATGAGCTATCATTTGCATATTTGAATTTTTCACCCCAAAATTGTGCTTACTCCCCCCTATGGTTTTTCGGATTTTAAGGACCTATATCTCGGCTCGTAGGAATTTCCGCAAAAAAAGAATGGTACCATTCGACTCAGCTCGCCGAGACGAATCGAATGGTATATAATTTGTCCCGTTTCTGAGTGGGCCACCGGCTAAAGTACAGCCTAGAATAATTGAGACTTTGATGTTATTTATCATTTTCGTAGAATTAGAAAGGGGATTGGAAGGTGTTGAAAGCGGCCTTTTAAGTGATTTTAAATTTGCGGACAAAAATTTATGTTTGCGGATTTTAAGTTTAAAAATTTATTTTTTCAAAATTCATTTTGCTCATTTTTTTAATTTTCTAGTCTTTTCTTCTGTCTAATTCGTGATGGTTATGAACGCCGTGAAACAATGAAAAATCAATTTGAACAAGCTTTTAATTCATTTCGCTTTCTTCGTGGTTTGCCCTTTGCAATTGAACAAAGTAATCGCTTCTCTGATTCTTCTGTTTATTCTGACAGACATAGCATGACAAATTCTGAAGTTTTGGATCCTCTACTTGAACAGGTTTTTTTTGACAAAATAATTTTTTTAACCAAGAAACAGATGCTCGATAACGTTATGAGGGATTATATTGATTCTTGGTACAATACACAATTGACATCTGACAAATTATTTAGAGAATCATTGAAGAGAACGGCGAGAAGGACGATTATTGCTTTGAGAACGTGGTTGGTTTATTTTTTAGAAAATAATGTAAGAGTATTTGGTGGGTTATTTTTAAGGTTGAGTAAGGTGTTGTTGGGTTTTTGTGATGGGGAATCTGAAGGGTTCGAGACTTCTGTTTGAGTTTTGAGGGTATCACCTTGCTTCCTTTTTCGACTTTTTTTTAATTCTTTACCGAAAATTTGGATTATGATTTTTTAATGATTTTTCCTCTCAGAAAATTTAAGAATTTTTAAAATTTTTGACCAATAAAATTTTTTTTGTTCATATTTCTTGTTGATATTTTGCTTACAGAGAGCGATCCTTATACATTTACCCCATCTTTTATTTAAATTGTAAGCCAATTTAAAAGTATTTTGAACTCATTTTTAAATATTTAGGTTTAATTTAAATATATAAATTTATTAAATAATTTCCAAATTTACTCGTCAATTTAATCTTAAAATTTGTTATTTATGTGAGGTGACAGTTTATCCCTTTTTAATTCTTCAAAAGATCATTTTTATCTTCTTTTATTTTTTACAATTTTATTTATTATTTATTTTTTTTCTTTTGTTTTTTACATCAAAATTTTTATTTTATCTATACCTCTCTAATGGTGTCCACGTGATCTTCTAATGTAAATTATTTTTGTTGACTCACCACGTTTTTTAGCTAGTACCAAGAGTTTTTTTTATCTATCAAACCTTTGACTAAACTTTTTAAAATAAATCCAATTTAAACTTAAAATTAAAAAAAAAATTTTTTTCCCTCTCTTCAACGTGGATTTTATAAACTAAAAAAGGAATATTGAATGAGAGGGCAACTAAAGTTAATTTTTAAAAATTTATCTTATGACTTTTATATTTTTATTAAAAATTCCAACGAATTCCGGTTACATGGCTAAAGCAATTCTTTAGAGAGAAAAAAAATTTTTTTATTTGTCAATCTGTAAAAATCCTCCCAATATAAAATAACTAGTGGTGGGAACTATTCATTATTAATATTTAATTCAAAAATCCAATAAAATAATAATTAAAAAAATGTTTGCCAAATTAATTTTTGTTATTCTTCTTCTTCAACTAATTCTGAAAAAAGAAAATAAATTAGTCGATGCTCAATGGGTAAACTTTTAAATAAAATTAATTTTTTGAATGGGATTTAGTGGTGAACGTTAATTGAAGCTTTTTTTATTATCAGAGATTCCCCCCCCCCCCCCCCCCCACAATTATTTTTTTCTGAATTAATTTCTTTGCCTATAACATTTGGATGGCTAATCGGTCTCTACCAAAACTTCTATATTTCTCAAAATTTTTAGAAATAAAAACTTTTCAGCAATTAAATGTTGACAAAAATGCTAGTACTGTAAGCTGGGATCGAATACTACATCACACAAAACCACCTCGTCCTCTTCCTAATAATAACCCTGAAAATAAAAGTGAATCTGATTGTGAGAAAAAAGGCTCAAAACGACCTCCTATAGAATTTATACAAGGAGGGATATAAAAGAAATAAAAAAAAGAGGATTTTTGTGGATTAAATAAGGGGGGAAATTATTAAAGTAATATTTATACCTAATACACAATATTTTTATTATATGTAATTCTAATCAGACTTTTGATTTTTTATTTATTTTATATCCATTTTTGAAATAAACTGTCACCTTTGATTTTTTTCTAATAATTTTTTATTTCAAATTATTTGAATCAACAAGATTTGGGTTGAGTACAACGCCAAATCGAGTTTCACAAAACATGAACTTTTTTTCAATTCAAAACCCGGCCCAACTTTTTTCTCAACCCAACACTCCCCTGATTCGAAGTATCGTTACAGCTTCGATCAATTTAATGGCCAACCAGGAATTGATCTCTCTGAAAACTAAATATCTTAAAAATATACTATAAACATTCCCTATTGTTCTTTTATCCTTGGAGGGAAGGGTGCTTGGAGATAAATAGTTGCGGCCAGAAGTTATTTAAAAAACGTAAGGAAAAAATGGCAAAAAAAAGTCGAAAATTAACAAAAAAATAAGGGGTTCTTTATTAACATTCTTTATTTAACAATTTTTACTTTAAAAATTTTTTTTAATTTTTTCCAGCCTTGGCAAAGTTGATTGGGTACCTCTTTTAACTAGACATTTTGTTGATGATTTTGCTTCACATTTACGTCTTTATCGCAAAGCTAGTGAACGTTTACAGTTTTTAAATGAAGAATCTGTGAAGGAAATAGCACCTTTAAGTGATGATTTGGAATCTTTATTTTTTGATTTGGAATTGGAAATGGAACAAAGTTATTGTAGAGATTTAGTTTCGACTTCGCCAGCTTATGAAAGTGGTAAAAATATTTTCTCTTTTGAATTGTTGATATAGTGCTATTTGACGGAATAGGGTTTCGGGTATCTGGCCTTTCCCTGGATTTGAATATACTTTTTGGGGGCTGAAAATTATATCTTAAATAGAGATATATCTAACTTTTAAGGTTCTTATAGTGAAGTTTGATTGTAAAGGCCAACCATTTTTGACCTTTTGTCCCCTTCCATTTCTTACCTTATTTTTTGGTAATATGTAAGTAGTATTAGTGAAAAAAGGAACAAAAATGGGAAGGGGAGGGGCATTTATGGGTGGTTTTTTGCCGGTCCGATTTCGAAAAATTATAAATATGTCATTCGAAAGAGCAGAGTCGAACAAGAAGAGAAGAAGTCGGTCCTACACTCATTTGTCAGGGTATTTTGGGGTAAAAATTTGAAAATGCAAATAATGGCTCATTCGAAAGAGCTCGAAAAGCTGAATCGAATGACACCAAAATCATCGACGAGCCTTTTCGAATGACATAGTCACAACATTCAAAGTATTACCAACAAAATCTTTTAATCCTCCGCCCCTCATCTTTTTAAAATTTTTTTCTTTCATTTAATTTTTCAGCATATTTACACGATATTAGCGACATTTTACTTTATTTATTAATGCCTTCAGAAGATTTTCGTTGTCGTCCTTTACGTTTTTTACTTCGAGAAATTTTTGTAACAAAAATATTTATTCCTTTAATTGATTGTTTGTCAGAACCTTTTTTTGTTAATCGAATGATTGTTTGGTTATTAAGTGAATTACCTTTAAGTACTGATGATTTTGTTGGTTGTTTGGAAAGATGTAATTGTGTACAAGAATTGGAATCTATTTTGGAATCTGTACACGAAGAAATTTGTACTTTAAAATCTAAGGGAGCTGGAAGTGGGGAAAATAATGGTAAGTATGGAGGAGGGGGGGGGGGAAGACGGGTTGAGAGACAAAAGATATTTTTGAAATTTTGTTGATTCGTTTTTAGTTAGTTCTCCTTGGTTTCTTGAGTTCGGTTTGAACCACATTCCCTTCCTATTCCTTAAGGTTAAATCACCTTGCTGGATTTTAAACAAAAGTTAAGTGAAATAAAGCGGGCTACTGTTTTGGATCTTTTTTTACTTTTCGGATTTTCCATAAACTTTGAACAATTCTTATCTCATTTTTTTCATTCTCATCTTTATCAATCCCGAATAAACAAATTTCCCTCGTAATTTGAGTTTGAACAAATTTTTAGTCTTTTGAGATTAGACTTTAAGAAAATTAAAATTTAATTTTAAAAATTAATTTTTATAGGAAACACATTCTCAGATCAACTATCAAGCTTAGAGTTTACAGAAAAATTAATTCGTCGTCGAATGATATTTTTGGTAAATAGAACAGAAACAACGGAAGATGATGGAAAGACTCAACATTTTAAACAAATGGTAAAAACATTTAAATTAAAACAAAAATTATAAAATTAAAACAAACACAACATTTCCCTCTCTCTTTGTTTTTCTAATTAAGTTAGGAAAAACATGTTTATTTAAATAAACTTTGCAATTGTTGTGCTAATGTTTTTATGTTTTGAATGTTTTTGTTTTAATGTTTTTGTGTTTTTGTTTATTTAAAGTTCGGTGTTTTTGTTTGTTTTTATGTTTTATTTCAATGTTTTGAGCATTATAACATGTTTCCAAGTGGATTTATTTTTCTGTCTGTTTTTGTGTTTATAAAATGAACATTTCCAAGTTTGTTTTTATGTTGGATAGGGAAATGTTTTTGTATTGGTTTTCCTTAAAATAATAAAACTTTAATAAAAGAATGCTTCAAATAAAACAAAAAATAACAATAAACATTTAAATAAAATAAAAAAGAAAAGATTAAATTGGAAGAAAGTAAAATTTGAAGCAAATAAAGTTTTTATAAAAAATATAAAATTTGAAAAGAAAATTGGAGAAAATGGGAAGGTTTTTGTGGGAAAAATAAATAATTTTTGTTTTTAATTTTTTAGGCTTCTTTAAAAAGAGATTTTGCAAATGGAAATTTTGAATTTGCAGAAGAAGCAATTTCTTTAGCTAGCGATAGTGATGGAACAATACATTTACCTTTAGATGTTGTTTTGGCCAATCCAACTTGCCTTTCCCATTTTATTGAATTTTTAAATCAAGCTGGGGGACAGAATCATATTGACTTTTATTTGGCTATTCAGGTAAATTTTTTTATAAATAATTTTAATTTAAAAAATTTTTAAGGGATTTAAAAGTTCAATGGAACACCAACTTCGAAGCACCCAACAATATTATTTGGATTTAGACACATTGGAAACTTTGAGAGAAGCTGCCTTGTTTATGTATCATCAATACCTCTCACAAGAAGCAATAACTAGAGTGCCGTTATCAGATTCTATAATTAATAAATTTTTGGCACGTCTGCGGTCTAATGAAGCCCAATCCGACTTTTGGTTTGAACAGATTGAAGAAAAGGTTTGGAATAATTTTGAAAGATTTTTCGAAAAAATAATTTTTAAAAAATTTTCAGTTGATTAACATTTTACAAACAGAAACTCGTTTCTTTCCTTCATTCAAAAAACATTTATTATATACAAAAATGCTTGAAGAAATGGGTATTGGAAATAATATACCTGAAGAAGAGGAGGAGGAAGAAATTGTTGATGAAGAAATAATTGAAGAAAAATTAAATTTAAATAAAAAATATTTATTATTAAATGAAGAGGGGGAGGGGGATGTTGATGTTGAAAAGGAGGAAAAAATTAAAAAGAAAAAATCTTTTAATAAAAAAATATTGGCAGTTAATAAAAAGAAAAATTTTCCGTCTCCGAGCACTTCAGAAGAGTAAGAGAAAATTTAATTTTAAAAAATAAAAAAAAATTTTTTTCAAAGAAAATCAGTTTTTATTGAAATGCTTGGTGTTGGACATCAGGTAAAAAATTTTTAAAAAAATCCTTAAATCATTTGTTTTTAAGGGACGTCATTTATTTGCTTTATATAATGTACGCGTTAATAAAGCAAATGCTTCCTCTAATGTAATTCGACGTTATTCTGATTTCCATAGCTTGCATAATATTATAGTGCAAAAGGTAAATGTTTGTTTTATAAAGAGAAAAAAAGAAAGGGAAATATTGTAGGTTAGAGATATTCTTTCCGGAAATTAAATTGTATATTTGTTTCCGGAAAAGATATAGAATATATAACTTTTCCGGATTATTTTGTTAGAGAAAATAGGTATATGTATTTTTCCGGAAAACACAAAAATAAATAAACCTTTTCCGGATAGTTTGTGAAATACATTTATATAAAACACACAATTTAATAAATATTTTTCAGTTTCCAAATTTAAATGCTTTGAGCTTTCCGGGTAAAAAGACTTTTAACAATTTGGACAGAGCATTTTTGGAAAAGCGTTGTTATGCTCTAAATCAATATATTAATGTAAGGAAAGAATTTTTTGTAAATTTATTTATTTAAATTTAAAGTATATTCTTCAACCAACCGTTTTATCAGAAAATCCGGGATTGGAAAAATTAATTTTTGAGTTTTTGAGTCAAAAAACTTATTCTGCAAAAGAAAGTTTTATTAATCCAAAAGCAATGGGGAAAGCAATGTTTAACCCAATATTTCGGGGTGTAAAAGCATTTGGAAATGCAGCTGCAGCTGTGCCTTCAGATTTAATTGATGGTATTGGAAAAATGGGGTCTGAATTGAATAGAGCGGCATTTCAAATTCTTGGGGTAATTAAATTTAAATTTAAAGAAATTTTTGCAATTTTTTAGGGAACTTCTGATAGACAACGAGTTATTAGAAATCAACGGTTATATTCAGCAGACTCTACTGGCAGTCTTCCGGAATCGAGTCGAGTAGCTGCCCATTTAGATGAGAAGGTGTGTGGTTATAATTTATAATAAAATGTGTTTTTCTGGAAATGGGGATTTTAATTAGATGATATATATTTATTTATTTCCGGAAAACTTATGTATTTAATTAGTAAGGAAAATACGTGAGAAACTTTAAGATGATAATTTTTAAAAGGAAATTTAAAGAATATTTCTTTTCCGGAAATATGTATTTACACAAAACAACTAAAAGAAAATAAAAACAGAGGGGTAAATTTCTGGAAAATGCTTTCATTGAATTTTAAACTTATTAATGAAGTTTTTATTAAAAATTGAGAATAATAAGAGAAAGTACAACTTATTAAGAAATAATTTTCCGGAAATATTTAAATAACAAATAAATTTTTAAAGAAAACATTAAAAATACATTTCTTTTAAAGGATTCTGATAACATTCCACTTCGTGTTTTACTTTTATTTGTTGATGAAGTTTTTGGACTTCGAGCAAAAAATCAGTGGTTTCGACGTCGTCTGGTTTCTTTACTTAGACAATTTGTAAATGCAACTATGGGGAATTCTATTAATAGGTAGAAGGGGGGGGGGAGGGTTTTTAAAAATATTCTGTTAATAAAAATAATTTTTTTCTAGACGAATTGTTGATGCAGTTAATTGGTTAACTTCAGAAGAACAAGTAGCACAATATTTGGTTGCTATGAGGGACTCAATTTGGGGAAATAATAATAATAGCGATTATTTAAATGGAGGGGGAGGATTCTTTACTGATAGACAAAGCCAAAATTCAAATAATAATCGACAAAATAACAATACAAACAACAACCCTCAAGATGGCCGTCAACGAACCCGATTTTTAGCCCGTTGTTTAATGCTTTCAGCAATTCCGGATCAATTACGTTTATTTATTGGTAATACAACAATTCAATTAGGTGGGTATAAACACAATAAAAATAAATTGTAATATAGATATCTTCCGGAAAATATAAATGAAAATACATTTGTATTACTATTAATTTTCCGGAAAATACATAAACTAAAATATAAGAAAACACAATCACTACACTAAAAATAAATCTTTATTTTCCGGAAAATATATACAAATTACACAACTTTTTTTAGGTATAGAAAATGTTTCTGAAGCTTTACAAAATAAACATTTAAATAGAAGATTTTGGTATTTAATTTTTGAAAGATTATTAACTACAATATTTCCAAATAATCGGTTTGATAGATTATTGCCTCAATTACATTCTAAAAGCCCTAGAGCACAAAATAGGGCTGCCATGTAAAAATTTTTTTAATTTGGCCTTTTTAAAATGTCCAAAATTTCACAAATCAAATTTTTGGAAATTTTTTTTGGCAGCCCTCCAATCCCGAAAAGTAACTTCTAAAAATTTTCCATTCACTTTTCTTTTTTTTTGTTTGTATGTATTTTTTGGTGCTTTCTCTCTAGTCGGTGACCTCAAAAACTTTTTTTGACTTGTTTTAGCCATAATTTCTTTCCGGAATTTTTTATTAAATTTAATTTTTTAATTTATTTTTTTAAAATTAAATATTCCTTCTTTAGCTTTATTTTAATTTTTATCCCAATTTTTTTTATTTTATATAAGCATAAAATTGACAGACATTATTTATAAAAATTTAATTTTGTGAGAAAAAAAGAATCTCTTGAATAAATTTTTTAATTTTTTTTTCGAAAACTTAATAATTCTCTTTAATAATATTTATTTCTTACAATTAATTTACAATTAAAAATAATCAAAAAAAAATTTTTTAAAGAAAATGGATAGAATCAGGAAAATTTTGGCGGGAAATTTTTTGGTACTTTTGCGGGCAAACTGAAACTTAAAGGAATTTCGACGGGAGTGTAGACCCTGCCGATATTTTTTAAATGCTAAAAATCAAAATATAAAGAACAAGTCAGGGTATCCACAAATTAAAAAAAAATCCATTTTCTTCCAAAAAATTTTTTCTCTTTAAAATTTTTGTCTATTTAAATCAACAAACTCTACTAAAAAAGAAAAACTTCTCTTTAATTCTCTAAGGATGTTGAAATCCTTTCAATGGTTTATATCCCAATTTTCTAGCAACACCTTCATACACAGGCGAATTTTGATTGCTAAAAAGTCTAGCTTCAGCTCCTTTAGGTTTTCCAGGCGGAGAAACATAACGAGAATCTGACGCCACCCCACCAAGAATTGAATAAAGTTTTGGGACTTCTTTCATTTTCTTTTTGTCAATATAAATTTCCAATTCGTTTGGGCCGAGATATTTTTTTGTAAAAAAGTTGACCTTTAAAAAGGGGGTTTTTTAAAAAAAAATATGGGGAGGGGGAATTTAAAAATAAACCTCCAACAATTGTGTTTCTTCTTGTTTATAAGCAAGCTCAAACAATTCACGCAAATAAGCCTTTTGTGTTGTACTCATTGGCTAAAAAAGGTTTAATTATAAATTGAGATGAGAATGGAGACTGGACTTGTCGACTTGGTCCGGATCCTGGGCATAAAGTCGAGGAAAACTCAAAACTTAGGTAGACCAAGGAAAGAAACAGGAATCTCAAAATTTGCCTAGGTATTAGCTCTGTTAATGATCAAAACAATTTTTATCGATTTTATCCCTTTGAATTTTGTACCCAGATAAGTAGAACCCGAGGTAAGCTATATCCTCAATAAAAATTCAAACCTCAAGACTAAAAACCTCCATTTTACGCGCATTTTCAGAAGTTTTTGTTGAGCAAAATGTCCGAAACAGAGAAGAATAATTTGTTGTCGAATATTTGAGAATTGTTGAAGATAAATAAGATAACCTTGTAACCATTTTTATGCTTTTCTTAAAAAATATTTAAAAAATTTTGAGAAGGAAGGAAAAACTTTGTTTCTAACAAAATAGGAATTACAAAACGCTAGAAAAAAAAAAGATAAATAAGTTGAAAAATAGTGTGTAATAGAGAAAAATTGTAAAAAGTTTTGTCAGTAGAGACTTATTTCAATGTCTCTCTTCTTTTCTGAGCTGGCACATATTTGGCGGGACTCAATAGTCCTTTTTAAGTGAGTGTGGCATTGTGTTTTTTTCAAATAATTTTGTTAGCGGTCATTTAAATGCTTTTTCTATTTTTCGTCTTTTTTTCGTGTTTTTTTTGTGAAATTTTATTTTTTTAGTTAAGATAAAAATGGATATTAAACCAAAATTGGAGCCAAGGGATGTGGAACTTAATGAAAATATTGCAGTCACACAAGGAAACAAACGAAAAGGAGATGATAATAATTTTCAACAAAATCGGTTAACTAAAACGCAAAAGAGGAAACTTAAGAAAATGAATAAACAACAACAAAATCAGCAACAAGGGAATGTTCAACAACAAAGTATTTATATTTGGAAATTGTTTTTTAATTGATTTTTTAAGGACATTTACCTCAAAAAATTGAAGAACTTAATGAAAATGTTGGTGCTGTAAATCCTGTCAAAAAACAAAAGAAAAAAGGAAAAAATAAAAATAATTATCAAAAATTAACTACGAATAAGGATCTAAAACAGAAACTTAAAAGAATGGAAAAAAGACAACAAAGGAAACTTCAAAGAGCTATGGCAGAAGCTAGGCAGAAAGAAAATGAACAAGCTCAATCAACGGGGAGTGGTGAGTAAATTCAAATAAAAAACATTTTATACAGTGTTGGTTCCTAATAACATAGACTGAATATCAAAAGATTTTTTGTGGGCAAAGAGAACAAAATAAATTACTGACCCATAGTAGAAGGGGGGGGGGGATTACTATTTTAAAATTTTAATTTCATATAGGTGATTATTCGAATATTCCAATTCGAAGAAAAGAACAAATTGCCAATGATAAAGATTGGAAAAAATGGAAGGATCAAAAAGAGAAGAAAATGAAAGAAAAGAAAAAGAAGCAACAACAAACACAGAAACCAAAAAAACAAGTAAAGTTTAATGTAGCGAATGATGAGACGACTGATAATAATAATGAGACAAGTGATAAACCTAAAACTAGAAAACAGAAAAAACTTGAAGCTCAACAAGATTTGAGAGGTTTTTTTTGTTTATTTTGGGAACAGAACCATTTTTCTGATTGCAAGAAAGATTTTTTACTTCGTTGATTTAGGGTCAAACGTGATATTTTTCAACCTTTGGATATGAGAGACATTGCCGACGGAATACACCCAATATTAGATAGACTTCAATTTTATATAGGCTTTCTTAATTTACTCGGCTTTTAGAGTTTTCCTTAAAAGTATTCTCTCAATCTTTTTTTAGATGAACGTATCAAAACTTTGCGTAATTCAATTAAAGAATTATTGAAATTTCGACAACTTTTTAAAAATGATGAGACTATATTAGTGAAAAATGTGGAATATCAGCAATTATGTACTTTGATTGCTAGTATTATTCCTGCTTTATTGCAACCACGAAAATTCAACAGACTTAACATGCTGTTTGTTTTTCATTTAATTTTTTTTATTTATATTAAAAAAATTTTTTTTAATTTTTTGGGAGAGATTTTTCGTGTATTTTTTGTAAATTTTACACTGATTGAATGGTTTAATTGGTTTTTTTCTATCCAAGCTTATTCTATTAGTCATTCTATTAGTCTTGGATACGGGCCTGCATACGGCCAGGCCCTTATCCAAGAAGCAGGCAGGTTCATTCCACCAACCCTCGAAATGGAAAAAGGAATTTTTGGCGCCTTCGGCCGAAAACGATTGACCCCCCCCCCCCTTTCCAAAATTTCTCTGGTTATGGCCCTGCCTTGGGAACATGTTGTCACTTTATTTTTTAAATTTAATTTCAGAAGATACGATAACGGGATATTAAATGAGATTGTTAAACAAGCAGCTCTTCTGGAACCACAACTTTTTACAAGAGCTTCTGTTTTTAATTTTAATAAAATAGAAGAGAATGATAAGGAAAGAAAGAATTTACAGTTACAACTCAGGTTTATTTAAAAAAATTTTTTCGGACTTTGACCAGGAAATGTGCCGTCCCGATTCTTGAGAATCGGAAATACCAGGCGATTTTTGGACCAGGTATCCCCATTTTTCGGAATTTAATATATCTTTTATGTCAGCACACAAGGACTTATCCATGGGAGGTTTCGAGTTGTGGGGACTAACTATTTAAAAATATAAGTTGGTTTTAAAATGTTTAAGCTTTCTTTTTTAGCCCCTGGATACGCCTTTGTATGCACGTTTCTTACTTCTAACCCTTTTTAGGATTTAAAATTTTTTTAATTTCTCAGAGTTCTTTGGGCATTAAGTGCTTCTGTCTGTATTTTTGGTTATGTTAGTATAAATAAACGTTCAAAAGATGAATGTATGTCTGAAGTTGAAGAACTTTGTTTAATGGCTGAGGTCTTTTTCTTATGAAATTTAAAAAATAATTTTCATTAAAAAAGGATTTAAAACAACATCCAGAAACTTTCAATTGTTCAGCTTTAGTTGATTTATTAATTTCTTGGCAAATGTCTTTTAATGCAAAATATAAAGTTTTGCCTGATTTGGCTATGTTTGTTTTTGTTATGCGTTTAAATGGAAATAATATACAACAAATTATGGAGGTTTTCTAATTTAATTTTTTTTTTTGAATTTTATTGGGGGTGGGGCTGGGGTGTCAAGGAAGGAGCCTATGAGTACATATTTTTATTTTTGACAATTTTAGGAAATATTTTTATTTAAGAGTTCCTTTTTAGTTGAATATTTTGTTGTTTTTGATTCCTTTTGGTGACTTTTACTTTTAAATTTTACTTATGTTTTTACTTTTTACAAAAGTTCGCAGGATAGTTGCCTGCCTGGCACTAAATTTTTACCTCTTTTTTATGTTCTTCAAACATTTTTTTAACTTAAAAAATTTTTAGGCTCTGTGTAATGATGAGGCTAGTAATTCTGCTGAAGAAAATGATGAAGAGGGAGATGAGGATACTGATTTTGAAATAGATGAGGAGAGTAGCGATGAAGATGAGGAGGAAATTGAAGGAGATGATGACGAAAATGAAAAACAAAGCCGTAAAGGTTTTTTTAATCTTTAGAGGAATTTTTCAGAAAATTTTTTTAGAAATCAAAAAAGAAATTGTTGAAGTTGATGAAAATGGGATTTCAAAAAAGAATGAAAGCAAAGAGAACAAAAAAGTGAAAAAAGAGAAGGTTGACGACAATGATAAACTTAATCCTGAACAAGTTGAAGAAATTCGAAAAGCTTTGGGTGATGCTTGTTTTGGACAGGATGATTTGACTGATGGAAGTGATGATTGGGTAGGGTATACTTATTTTTTTTATAAATTAGGGGGGGGGGATTGGGTCTATAAAAAACTTGGTGAAGATTTTCAGTTTTGGAAACACATTTATATATAGGAAAATCTTATAACTACCCTTTACCCAATTATGATTTCTAGTATTGAGGCAAAATTATCTTAAAACAAAGGACATTTTTGTTTTGAGATAGCTCACATTAGTTTTACTATTTTTCCTCTACTTCAACTGGCCATGACCCGAAATCTGCACGGTAAAGAAAGTTACTTCATAATCGAAATTTGGAGCTCTATCTAATAATGGTACAAAGAACAATACCAAATTTTTGTAAACTTTAGTCGATGGTCCAATGTCAGTAAGAGTCAGTAATTTTGAGGGTCATCTTTTTATAATTTATCTTAAAAATTTTTTTTAAAGAATTTGGATGACGAAAGATTATTTGCTTTGGATGATGAATTAATTGAAACATTTAGAAAACGTTCTTCATTAAAACAAAACTTACAAAAATTGAAGGAATTTAGAAGAAGGTTGGTTGATATGTTGACAATTTGTTTTACTGTGGCGAAACTTGAATTGGCTTTGGTTTGTTTTTTAGTTAATGTAAGATTAAGAGAGGGAAAATGGAAGATTTTTGGGGTTTTCTGAATTTTTAACTTGTTGTCTTTTGAACTTTTATACGCCTTAAATTTTATATTTTATTTTTTCAATTTTTTTTTAAATTTTCTAGCCTGCTTGGCTGTCTACAATTGCAATGCTTTGTGAACGTAAAGATACTAGTCAAGAAATTGTTGATTCTATGGCAAAAATTGAAAAGCCTTTAATTAGACGAAAAAAGGTTTTCTTTAATTAAACTTTTTTTTTCTAATTTTTCAAAAAAAAAGGAATGTAATTATGACAAAAAACAATTGGCTATATTTTTACGTGCTTTAATTGCTCCATTCCAAAAGGGTGATAATGATGTTAGATTATATTCTAGACATAATCAAAAGTTGGTTTTTGGTGCTATTCGAGTATTGGTTTGTTTTTTTATTTAAAAAATGCCAAAAGTCAGAGCCTTATTATTTTTATACCCGAAAAAATTCTTAATTTGATATTAGGGAATTAACTGACATAATAAATCCATTCCAGATTTTTGGGGATTGGATCGGCTAGATTTCTAATAGCCCCTCCTCCTCCTCCGCCAATAACTTTTAAAAAATAAATTTAAATGAATGGGTATTTATCTAAAGTTTGAATGTTTTATATTAATTTATCACCATTTCTTCTCTTTTCTAATTTTTTTGTCTTACTTAAAAATGGCAAAGTCAAAAAAAGATCAGACCAATTTTAAAAAAAATTTCCTTAACTTTAACTTTTTTTAAAGGTTTGTCTTTCCTCTGACAACTCAGCCAGTCGATTTTCACCAGAAGTTTATCAATTTGTTACCGATTTGTGGGCATTTTGTGACAACAATATTGCAGATGAACAAAATTATTATAACGACAAAGAATTTGTTCGGAAATTGTTACTCCAAATATTTAATAATTTTAGGGTATTTTTTTATTTAACGAGGGGGGGGGTATTTATTCAAAAATCTAACAAGTTTTTGTTTAATATATTTAAATCAGTCAAAAAATTAAACAAATTTTTTGGCATAAAAAAGGGGGACATGAGCGGCTATACTTAAATAGGCATTTTAATTTCCCTAATTTTTTAGCAATATTTTAATGATTGGTTTTTGCCTTTATCCAATGATGCTATCAATAATGAATTTTCTTTTACTAAACGAGTAAGGAATTGAAGAGATTATTTTTTAATTATTTTTTCTTAAGTTAACTTCTCTACATTTATTGACTTATTTAATTAATGGAAATAATTTGGTTTTTTTATTTTTAAATTAAAAAAAATTTTTTTTAATTTATTAGAAAAATGTTTTGCCTTCTCTTGTGGAAAAATTTGTCGAATTTTTTGGTACAAACAATAAAAATAATAATTGTGAGGATGATGAAGAGGTTAAACCTCCAAAAAAGAAAAAAATTAAAAAGGTTTTTTTTTAATTCTATAAAGTTTATAAAACTCCTCCATCCCCCCTCCCCCCCCCCCATTTGTAATGAAGAAAAAAAATTTTTAAATTAAAAAAGAATTTTTTAGATTTTTTGAATTTTTTTTTGTAATTTTAATAATTTAAGAATGCATCATGGCGTAGTGGGGTAGGTTTTGTGTTTCATGTGTGAAGGTATTGGTTTGAATCCTTTGGGGTAACTCGAAAAAAATTTTTTCCTGAGTTTTCCTTTTTTAATTAAATTGTTTTTCCAAAGTTTTAAATTTATTTAAAAATTTATTAAATCTAAAAAAATTTTTAACAGGAAATTGAAGATAATAATCAACAGCAACAAGAAGCAATTCCACAAACTAATAAAATAAAAACACTTTATTTGGTTAAATTTGTTCAAGTATTTGGAAGAATTGTTGAAATTTTAAAAGAAAAACAAGAAAAGGTTTTTTTATTTTTTAATAACAATTAGTTTTTAATTTTTAGAAACTTATTTTTGGTAAATTATATAATGGTGGAATTAATGATTTGGAAGTGGCTGTTGAACGAACTGTTGGGGATGAAGGAATTAAGGTTTTTTTAACTTTTTTTTGTGGAAATGGAATTAAAAAATGTGTTTTTCTAATTCTTTTCAAAACCATGATTGATATCGAACCTGAGATCATCAAAAGATAAACGCATTGAGACTTAAAAATTTTTAACTTATAATGAGACACCCAAAGGGCAACCAAATTCTAAATATTTTGATTCGATACTTGGGTTAGGTATCCGTCGTGGATTTTCAATTTTCTTAAGGCTAAAAATATACCTATTTCTAAAATTAACCCTTTCAAAGATACTTCAACGCAAAATTGCCTATAACGATATTTATTGGACGAATGACAACAACACGAAATTACCACACTTGGATCGTCCATTGCCTTCATATCTTTCTAGTTATTTGAAGAAAATTATGGAGATGTTAAAGAAAGATATTAGGACAGTCTAAAGATAAAGAGGGACATTTTTTTAAAAATAGCCTTTAAAAAATTTTGTTGTTAAAATTTTAATTTTTGGTTAAAAAAATTTTTAGATTTAAAGAAGACTTTGAGACAAAGAGTAATTTAATTCTTGAGGGATTTTAATTTTCTTTATTATATCGACTTTCAAACAAAAAGATAAGGAAAAATTCATTAAATATAATAATAAACGAAAACAAAAAAGAAGAATAAATTTAAATGTCTTGATTTTTTTATATATTATTTTTTAATTAAAGAATAGTTAAAAGATTGGTTTTATTTCCAACCCTTTTCTCCCAAAAAGGGATTAAATAAATATTTTAGAATTGGAATGATTTTAAAGGCAAAAAAAGAAATTTTGGGGGAGAGAAAAGGGAAAAAAGAGTTGGACTTATAAAACCAAAATTTTACCTAAAAATATTATTTTTTTATAAAAAAAGCACGGTCATTTTGTAATAATCCTCTCAATCATTTTCATCTTCCGCAGCAATGCAGCTTTCTCCATATTTGATTGATCCAATTCATTTTGAAGATCTTCAAACTAGAAAATAAAAATTTAAATTAAAACAAAAAAAGCAATTTGTTGTTGAAATTAATGGAATTAAAGGAAAGTTTAAGGACAATGTTCTACCTAAGTTATTCCCCTATTTAAAATAATTCTGGAGAATTCAAAATACGAGGTCTGACCCCCCTCCTCACCTCTTGTTGCAATTTCTTTTTAGAATTTTCAATTCTCTTTTGGGCAGCTTCAGCATCCACCAATTGTTGCTGAACATTATCCAAATCTTTAGTAAAACGTTTAAGTTGTTCCTCATATTGTTGAATAACATCCTCATCAACACGTTTTTTAGAATCTTTTAATTGTAACCTAGCACTATCCAATTCATTCAAAATTTGATGCTTTTCAATTTCTTGTTCTTCTTGCAAAGCTTGAACATCTAAAAAATGATTTTTTTAGAATAATTTGGTAAAAAAGAAAACGACGATTTTTTAAACCTCCTCTATTTTAAAACAATCCCTAACCAAATATAAATATTTATATTTTTTACCAGCCAATTCCTGCTCCAATTGTCGTAATTTTGATTGCAAAGCCAATTTCTGTTTCTTTTCTTGTTCCAAATCTTCTCTAGCCTCTTCCAACAATAATTCCAATTTTCGAGAATGTTTTTGAAGTCCAGAAATTGTTGCCAAATCATCATCAGATCTTAAAAGATTAAATAAAGTTTAGATTTTAAAAATAGGGATAATTTTAAAGGGAAAAACTAAACATTTAAAATTTCGAACCCAAAAAATATATACCCAAAGCGGGACACGCCCAAGTAGGTGCGCGGCCAGGTAGGCGCAAAGCCATAACTAGCTGCAAAATTTCTGGACCTTGACAATTTTAGTACCAATCTCTTTAGCTCGATGAGAGGAATCGTTTAATATTAAATTTGATAAGATTCAGAAATCTTGAAGCAAGTTATGGCTTTGCACCTACTTGGGCTGTACCCACCCAAAGCCTGTCATTATTGCCCAGTTTATTTTTTAAAAATTAACAAAAAAATATAAACTTGTTTCGTAATTGAACCAATTCAGCCTCATATTTACCCAATTCTGTTGTTAAATATTCAATTTTTGAATGTTTTTCATCGAGCATAGATGATTGTTGAGCAATTCCTGAGGCAATATTTTTCTTTTCTTTTTCAGCAAATTCACGTAATCGAAGCTCAGATTCATAACGTTCTGTGAGTTCGCTAAGTTGGTTTTCCAACTGGTAAAAATATTAATAAATTGAATCAAAAAAGAGAGAGAGGGAAATGATGGACACAGTTAAGGCTAGTTACTTAACTTCGGAACTTAAGCAAATACTTGAAATCTTTTCAGACTTTTTCAACAAAAATTTTCAAAAGGGATAACGGAAATTCTTAATTTTTTTTGGATAGGGTTAAACGAAAAAATCTTTTTATTACCTCCCAGCAAAAGTTTGGGTCAAACGGTGGGAGATAAATTGGAGGATCGAAGAATTAAATATAACCAGAGAACTGTTTCGAAATTTCAAAAAAATTTTAGATTCACATTTTTAACCAGACCTGTGCATGGACACGGATTTTCGTATCCATATCCGGATATTTACGGCGGATATCCGCAGGCATTTTGAACTCATCTGTATCCATATCCGTATCAGACCTGGGCGAAACTCCAAAATTTTTTCGGACGAAACGAAACGAAACAAAAAATTTTAAAAATCGTTTCGTTAACAAAACGAAACGAAACAGCCAAAATTTAACGAAACGAAACGAAACAAAACGAAACATTTTAATTTCTAAAAAATTCTCAAAAAACTTAATAATTTTATTAACTATTCAATTTTAACCAGGTAAATGGGCCACTAATGATGTGTGGGACCACAAATTGTGGTCCCGTTAGCCATTTGTTGTGGACCCAATCGTTCAAACGTCAATTTTTCCCTTAATTCACCTAATTCCCTATATCACCATTAATAACTCGGTCCAGAATCATTTCCAGAAGTAGGGAGTGGTCCCGTTCGACTCAGCTCCTCGAGACAAATCGAATAACATTGTCAACTCACGAAATTTTACCACCAGTCAGAGTTAGGTCGAAACGAGTACCGGAAAATTGGCTCTGGGAAATTGGGCTCCAGCGGAAGATTTTCGAAAATCTTGGAGCCTAATTTTCCAGAGCTCAATTTTCCGGACACCGTCGAAACAATCAGAGGTGTCGGAAATCGGAAGAGCCGGAAATCGGAACTGGCTCAAAAGTTGGAAACCAAAAGTAAAAAATTTTTTTCGGAAATCGGAAATTAGAGACATCGGCATATATTAGGGATTAAAGGGACATAGTGGGATTAAGGAGGATATCGAGGGAAGTAAGAGGACATCCCTTTAACCCCTCTAATAATCTCTCTATAATTCTTCCCAATATTACTCAAAGTCCACCTTAATCTATGCAAATGTACAGAGATATACACATATTTCCTTTTCTAGCGCCGCAGGCGAAAATTTTTTTAATTTTGGGAGGCCATGAAGGCAGATTTCCTCCATTTTCAGCGCCGCAGGCGAAAATTTTGAGAATTTTCATCGCCAAATGGGAATTTTTTTCAGTTTTTGGGCAATATTTTGGCTTAAAAATAGGTAATGTTTCGTTAACAAAACACAGGTGTTTCGTTAACAAAACGAAACGAAACAAATTAAAAAGTGTTTCGTCACGAAACGAGACGAAACAGAAAAAAACATAACGAAACTAACGAAACAACGAAACGAAACGAAACGTTTCGCCCACGTCTGATCCGTATCCATGCACAGGTCTGTTTTTAACAATTTTTTTATCGTCAAAACAGCCCATCTAGCAAAAAATAAAAAAAACCTTTTGTCTATACTTCATTCCTTGTTTGGCTTTATCTTCACCTTCTTGCAAAAGATCAGAAAGTTGAACAAGTTTATTATCAACACTTTTCTTTTCCAATTGTAAACGTTCATTAGCATCTTGCATTAAAGCAAAACGTTCTTGCAATTCTTTCAATTTATTTTCCAAATTCTTTTTGTCCAACATTAATTTTTGTCGAGCAGATTCTTCATCTTCAAGTTGAGATTCCAAATCTTTGACAGTTTCCTACAAGTAAAAAGTATTTTTATTTAAAAAAGATTGTTAAGACAATTTTCTTTTTTTAAATAGTTTTGAGGATTGTTTGCAATCGGTTATTATTACTACCTTAAGTTTTCGACCTCTCGGGTTTCGGTTAAGTTAACCTTCTGCAAACAACAATAATTCCTTACGAGTTACCCAAACCCCGATCCTAGGAATATTCTTTAAAACAAGGAAAACGATCACGCCGTGACACCTCTGGACACAGAAACCCTAAAAATCATGCAAAGCTATTCTAGAAGGAGGACGCCAAAACAATTTTATAAAAAATTAAAGCTGTTTCTATTTCTTTCCCTTTTAAATAATTATTTATGAAAACCCCTCCACATACATCCAACTTTTTATTTGATTGTAAAATTTTTGATTGTGCTTCATCAACTTCCTCTAAACGAAGAGTCAATTCATTCACAACATCTTCAAATTTAATATTTCGTTGTTTTAATTCATCTGCCAATTCTTCTGCTCCAGCACGATCATCTGATTCAACCTTTAAAAAAATTTTTTTAATTTAAAAAACAATTTTACTTGAAGTTGAGCTTGCAAAGAAATTTTTTCTTCTTCCGTTCTATTAAGTAAAAGTTGAATTTCCAACATTTCTTTCTCATTATTGGCAAGACGATCTCTAAGAACATTTAATTCTTCGTCACGTTTACGAATTGCTTCTTCTTGATTGGTAACCTATAAAAAATTTGAGATTTTCTACACACTTCTCGAAAATATTTTGTAGTTTATTACAAAAATCATTTCATGCTTCAAAAAAAAGTCCGTAAGTTTGCGGACTTTTACAAACACAAAAGAAAATAAATAAAGAAATTCTAAAACAGTTATTTCCCCCTTAAATCCTATATACTTTAATTAATCCAAAAAAGTAAGAAAAAACCTGCAACAACGGCTTCACTTTTGTATATAAACGCCACCATTGCCAATCACGTAATTTTAACCAAGCCAATCCATTACGTTGCAAAATTCGAATAGCATTGGATTGTTGAACACGTTTTTGATATAAACGTCTGGCTAGATAAGCTCGGCATTGAGATTGAAAGCTTATAATAAGTCCACAAAGTTTTCGGTCACGTTCTTCTTCCAAATGTGCAAGCATTCCAGCACGGAAAAATACTTTGGATTGACCAATTCGATAATAATATTTATCCAATTCAAGTGCCTCTATGATACGCCTAGCAAAATTATTTAATTTTTTTTACTTTTTATTATTAAAAATCTTGGGACTATCCAAGAGAAGAGAAATGTTAATTCTACAGAAAATTAAAAAAAATTTAGCCAAAAATGTCCTTACCCGTTAAATTTTTTCCCCAATTTTAATTTAAAAAATAAAAATACTTACTTGCAAGCCTCTTTTCCATCAACAAAACTTTTTGGAATTAAATTCGGTGTAAGAATTTCATAACGATGACGGAATTCTTGGAATGGTATTCGGTTTGGAAAGCCTTGACGACAAATTCGAATTCCTTCGAGAACGCCATTACATCGAAGCTGTTCCAAGACAAGATGGGCATTGATTTTTAGAGGCTAAAAATTTTATATGAATTTAAAAAATTTTTTTATGAAAATCTTAAAGACAAAAACAAGAATTTCCCATTAAAAGTTTATAACGAATTTCAAAATTAAAGAAAAAGTTTTCTCCCTTTTCTCTCTATCTATTGCCCCCAAGATTTGACAAATACACCCTTAAAATGCCTGATTTTATTTATCGATTTTGTGTGTGGCATCGATAAGCAAGAAAGGACAACAAGAAAGGACAACCATTTCTTAAAATTTGCCATTTAGCCTAGTCATTTTAATTTTTAAAAGAGAATTTCGAAATTCAATTTTTAAGAAAAAATGAAATTAAATTCCAACAAAATATTTTTCTTGTTTTTAATAAAATTATTGTTTCAAGTCAAAGCTATAGAATATAAACTTCGTGAAGCCAAACCACACAAACATCGTTGTGCTTATCAATATAAAAACGAGAATAATGAGGAAGGAAAATGGATATTAAAACCATCAGCTAAAGCTTGTTCAAATGAATTGGATATTGTTTGGCCAGAAGAACAAACAAATAATTTATTATTAATTGGAGAAAGTACTCATGATAATAAACAAAATAAAAAAGGAAGAAAAAGGAAAAGAGAAGAAGAACACCAACAACAACAAACTTTATGCCAAATAATTTTTGGTAAAAAAGACGGAGAGGAACAACGATTGAGATCAGAAGCTTGTGATAATGAATGTCTGTTTTAAAATAAAACCAGAGTTGTATAAAGATTTTTCAGGGATTCAACCATTAGCTAGAAAATGTCGAAAAGAGTGTGGAACATGTTGTGAACTTCCAGAGTTTCAATGTGAGGATAAAGGTATAATAAAAATTTCAAAATTGTGGATGGGAAAAAAATTTGATGGGAATTCCTCCAAAAATAAATTTTTTCTTAAAGCACATTCTGAAAATCATCGAGACAAATATCAACTTAAACAACAGTCATTCAGTTGTTACACAATTAAAAATATCCAAAACAAATGTCAAAAGACGAGTGTTTGGTATCCAACAGTATCAGAACATTGTCAATCAACTTGTGGACTTTGTGAAATGGAAAGGAAAAAGATAGAAGAAAATAGAAGGAGAGAAGAAAGTTGGGATGATAATGATGTTTCTATGGAGAAAAAGAGAAAAAATAAAATGAAGATTCCAAGAAGTATTTTTAAAGCTTTTTTCGTTTTTGCGGACAAATATTTGCGGACAGACAGGGATTCGGAAATGTTCCTAACAAATTTCCAAACCTCGTTCTGGGAAAAAATTTAAAAGAGCGTCCCATAATAATAGTATAATATTAAAAAATTAATCAAAACAGGCAAAGAATGTCGAAATCGTCGTGGCGACACCTACTGTCTCAAAAAAGTTCTAACAAAAGGGAATGCTTGCAGAAATAAGCCGGTAGAAAAATTATAAATTAAAATAAAAAATTTTTTTTCTATTATCTAAGTGGATTCTTGATCGATGTCAAGAAGCATGTGGAGTATGTCTTCCATGGAAATATAAATGCAGAAATAAAGAGAACTATAATCGAAGGTTTGATTTAAAATTATTTTTAAAAATAAAGTTTATTTTTTGCAAAAGATGTAAACGCTGGAATCACAACGAGTTTTGTTTAAAAACAAAATTTTCGCTGGCAATAAAGCTTCATTATTGTGCAGAAGAATGTGAATTTTGTGATAGAGATGATATAGAGGAGGAAGATTATGAGGACGATGAAGATGTTGTGGAAAGGGGAAAGCAAAAATGGCTTGTATAAAGAGAGAAGAATATTTTTTGGGAAGGAATTAAGAAAATTCGGTTTAGAATCAGAGAGATGAAATTTGTATAGCTGAATTGAAAAGAAGAGAGCTAAAGCCGGACCTTATTCGTTACATAGAATAATCCAAGATAATATTCAAATTTTACAGTCAATTAATTTTCTCTCTCTGGTCCTCTGAACAGCTCTTGTTTTACCCACACCCTCATCCACCAAAGCTGTTTCGAAGCCGAAAATTTCAAAAACCGGAAATCGAAACAGCTCTGGGTGGGAGCACAAAGTATCGAAAAAACTTTATTCTTGCTTATAACTTTTCTATAAACTAAAAAATTCTAATCCCTTTTTGCCCAAAAATTTGATTTAAAATTAATTAACCAACCTTTTTGTCATGATTTGGAATAATACAACGAACAAAATGAGGAAAAGTATTGCGTAATGTAGTCATTAATTTATTTAATTGTTCCTTATGCATATGCCCAACAGTTCGAAACATTCCCTTTTTTGTACGAACACCAAAAACTGTATCATTTAATTCTGTTACTCCCATTCCAGCAAATTCAGCTTTAATTTAAAAAATTAAATGTTTTGTAACTAGAAATATTCAGAATATTTTCCGAATCTTCATCAATACCCTTATCTTTCAGAAAAAATATAAAGTTTGGAGGTAAACAATTCTCGTGGATTTTTTTACAAAAGTCGCCTTAGTTTCTCTTTTAGAACAATTAAAAAATATTTTTTAAATTGTTTAAGTGTTAAAATGATAATAAAAATTTTTTTATAGACGCATAAAAAACTAACTTAAAGAAAATTAAAAGAAACCAAGGGTATTACTACAGTACTGCACAAAAGTATAAGAACACTTTCAAAAAGCTTATAACTTGGGACATACTTGACCAAATTTTAGGAAATTTTGTGTAAATGTGTGGATTATAAAGAGAAACACGATTAAATAATTAAAATTTTAAATTTTTTAAAACATCTCTCCAAAACTTAAAATTATTAAAATTTCGCGTTTTTTTACTGCACAAAAGTATAAGAACACTTTATAAAAAAGATACTTCCAAGATTAGGAAAAATTTACAAAAATTCTAGCGAGCATACATAATGATATTATGAAAAAATAAAAAAGAACTAGACTCATATCTTTACCCGGAGCCGAGATCCCGAAACCCCGAAAATCAACGTAAAACAGGGGTTTTCAACTTTAAAAAATATTTTCGACCCCTTATGGATTACTTTAAATTTTGATTTTGGGCTCATTCGAAAGCCCTTAAAATTTGCTACAAGATAGCAACAATCTTATTTTTCAGAAAAAATTTTAGAGAAAGAAGCAGGCATTAAACTTTTTATGCAGAAAAAAACGCCTTAATGCCCCATAAAATTCCCCTTAAGGTCGCTTCCGAAGTTTGAATGCATGTACCTCCCTATAAAATTTTTTCATAAAAATAAGATTGTTGCTATCTTGTAGCAAATTTCAAGGGCTTTCAAATGAGCCCAAAATAAAAATTGAAAATAATTAGTAAGGGGTCGAAAAATTTTTTTAAAGAGCCTTACCCCCGTTTTACGTTGATTTTCGGGGTTTCGGGATCTCGGCTCCGGGTAAAGATATGAGTCTAGTTCTTTTTTATTTTTTCATAATATCATTATGTATGCTCGCTAGAATTTTTGTAAATTTTTCCTAATCTTGGAAGTATCTTTTTTATAAAGTGTTCTTATACTTTTGTGCAGTAAAAAAACGCGAAATTTTAATAATTTTAAGTTTTGGAGAGATGTTTTAAAAAATTTAAAATTTTAATTATTTAATCGTGTTTCTCTTTATAATCCACACATTTACACAAAATTTCCTAAAATTTTGTCAAGTATGTCCCAAGTTATAAGCTTTTTGAAAGTGTTCTTATACTTTTGTGCAGTACTGTATACTTATTCTTAAATATCAAAGAAAAATCTCTCCTTACCATCTTTCCATATCCCAGCCAAAAATTGATCAGTACTATTTTGCATTAATTGTACAACATTTTCATTCAAAGGGTCCATATTCTTCATTAACCATTTATCAGAATAATAATCAACTCTACCCGCATAATGCATTACAGCAAAATCTGATTTTGATCGCATTTCTGGAACAACAAACTTTTCATGTTTTTCATGATAAGTAAACAATTTTTCAACAAAAGATTTGTCTGTAGCTTTAGGGAAAATACATTGTTCATCTAATAATGCGAGAATTCCTGTTGGCTAGAAAAATAAAAAAATACTTTTAGCAATTGCAATGAAGAGGTGAATATTTAAGAATAATTCTTGAGATTTTTCATATGGATAACCTTTTTGTAGATTAAAAAATTGTATTTTGAAAATATTAAATAATCCAATTGACACCCAAAATTAAGACAGAAAATTGAGGTGATTTAATTTTGTGAGATTTAAAAAGGTTAGACTCTCTTTCCCTTCTTTACTTGTCATTTATTTAGAAAAATAATTGAATAACTTCAGATGAATTTCAAAAATGACAAAAATTATGAAAATTTGTCAGCAAAAAAGTACCTCAACTTATTACAAAAGCCAGAATTAATTAAAAAAACCTTTTCAATCAACTCAATTGTAGGTTGCAAATCTAACCCAAAATCAATAAATTGCCAATCAATTCCTTCTCGCTGGTATTCTTCTTGCTCCAAAACAAACATTGTATTGTTGAAAAGTTGTTGTAATTTCTCGTTTGTATAGCTGAAAAAATAAAATAAAAATCTGTGGCCAAATTTTGCGAATAGTTCACAAAATACAGTGAATTATTTAGTCAAAATATCGGATTATAATAACCATAAGTTTTAACTCATTCAACAATCCATCCCCCTCCCCCCTTATTTCCTATTATAAATTTTAAAATAAAAAATATATACTTAATACAAAGCTGCTCAAAACTGTTCAATTTAAATATTTCAAATCCAGCAATATCCAAAATTCCAATAAACGATGTTCCAGTTCGCCTTGTTCGATCCAACGATTTATTGATTCGGCTAACCAACCATTTAAACATTCTCTCATAACAAGCTTTCCCAATTGCCTCAACTCCAAATTCAGCTTGTTCTTTGTTTTGAGCTTTTTGTACATGTTCACGCCCAACTTTAATGCGAGGGCGAAGGAATGCTTTGGTAAAATCGGCGACAGGAAGGCCAAGCAAATGGCAAATTTTTTGAGCAACTAAAAATTTTTAAAACTAAAAATTTTAGCTAAAAATTCAGAAAAATTTTTACCGACTATCAGTCCGATAGAGGGTAAAATTTTTAACCCGTTCAGGTTCAAATTAATTTAAAATTAATTTCTAACAAATTTTTAAACAAAAAACTATTTTTATAAACCTGTATCATCAGGCAGAGTTGCCTGGTCACTATTCTTCTCCTGTTTAAATTCAATATTTCCAAGCAAAAGAACAGCACTAACAACACGAAGAACAGCTAAATAATAAAATTAAAAGAATTTTTTAATTAAAAAACTACAATTAATTTCATCATCATGAAAGCCCATAATTTTCATTGAACGAATTGTATTGTGAAATTCTGCAGCGTCATCAACATTCGGTAATGTAATATAACCATTTTGCAAAAATTTGTATTTACTCACATCTTCGAGCAAAAAGCTTGCTGAAAATTTTAAAAAATTATTCTTTAATTTTTTAATAAGCGCAAAAATTTTTAAAAACACCGTTTTGAAGGTCTCAATTTACCCAAATTTGTAATCCAAAAATAATTTTAAAAATCCAAAACCTTTTTCCTCTGCAGAAGTTCCACGCAAAAATTGGTAAAATACATGAAACGAACGCTCATCATTTGCTTGACGACATGTACGAGACTTTTCCAATAAATAAAATTCAATATTAGCACCAGAAATATAACCAGCCAAATCGAAATTGATTCGAATAAATTTTCCCTGTAAAATTTAAAAAAAATTTTAAATTAAAGAATGTTGATAATTAAAATCTTGAAAACAAAATTCTAGTTCCGATCGATATCTGATTTTTCTGAAAAATTAGGTCTCTAAAAATTCCAATAAGGTGTTAACAACAAAGAATTGGTTAAAAATTTTCGTTTACGGACAGTAGAGGTGGCACAGACATCGAGGAAAATTTTTTCCGTGAACGGAGATGGCAGGAAATGGACTGTAGGAGGTCGGGAATATCCTAAAAATTCGAGTAGGAAACCAACCTTAACAGATAGTATTGATAAGGAAAATAGTTAGGGGTTATATATCCATAATTTTGCAAATATAAATTAAAAATCATCACTATAATCCCAAAAAAATCTCCAATATTTTAAAGAAAAAAACATACAAATCTCGAAGAATTATCGTTTTTGACAGTTTTGCTATTTCCAAAAGCTTCCAATATTGGATTTGCCTGTAAAAGTTGTTGTTCCAATTCTCCAACCAAATTAATTTGATCAACACTAGAATGGCTTCTAGCTGGAGAAGAACACAAAAGACCGTTGGAAGTTGAGGTATTAACTAATTTATTATGATGTCCAAGCCTGGTAGCCCCAGCAACATGAGCCAAATATTGAATGACTTTTTTGGTATTTTCTGTTTTGCCTGCACCCGATTCTCCGGTACACAAAATTGATTGGTCTTCATGATCTTTAAAAAATTTATTCGAAAAGAATGTTAGGTTTATAAATGTTATGCTTTGGTCACAAAAAAGTGTCTTACAGAAAAAAATAATTTTAAAAGGAGAAGGCAAAAAAATTGTATATCCCCAATGGTCATATAAATTTACCCTCAAAAAACTATGCTTTAACTCATTCATAAAAAATCATAATTTTTCAAACCTTGAAGCATCGATCTATAAGCACAGTCAGCAATAGCAAAAACATGAGGTGGACGTTCATTACGTTTCTTTCCTTTATAAGACTCAATTACAGCCTCAGAATAAATTGGCAATTTTTTATATGGATTCATAACAACACAGAACAAACCAGAATATGTCTAAAATATTTACAAAAAAATCTTTTTAAAAATCCAAAAAAAACATACATAAATTAATTCAGAATAATAACGCTGCTTTAAATTGTCAAAAACTGAAGGCTCGTTAAGGCACGTGAGATCAGCCATATCCTCAACCTGAAAAATTTCTTTTATATTGTGGGGCTAAAAAAAAGAAATGAAGACCCCAAGGAGTTATAAGAAGCCAAGACAACCGACAGTCTATAAAAGCCTATATATGCGTATTTAAGACACGATCCGTAAACCACAACTTAACTTTCTCCACCCAGTTCATTCAAGGTACAAACCAACTAAAAAAAGTATCCAACTAAGGGCCCTCTCTTGCCCAAAACCTGGTTTGCCCCTATCCTTTTTAAAAATAACAAAAATTCAACAGAGAAATCACCAATCTTTGGGTAAAGTCCCAATCCCAACCTTTCCCCCGAACCAACAATCCTCTCCTAACCAATCCTTAAAAATTAAAAAACTAAAACCTTGTCAAACTTTGGAGGATTCATTTTTTGACAATCATCTTTACTTAAACGTAATTGATGTCCATTTTCCACAAATTCAACAGTATAAGTATCAGCATCCTCACTAATTATCGATGCTTTTACAAAACCTTCAGTTTCATGTGGAACCCAAATGAGACGTTTTTTGGCCCATTCGGCTTGCAACATTGGGTCAGTAATGCGCATACGAGCAGCAAGAGGTCCTCCTCCCCCATCTTCATTTTTGTTGTTGTTGTTACCAATTCCCCCATTTAACATTTTCTTTTTGTTGTTTTAGGTCGAATAAATAAATAATTTAAATTTTTTAAAAAGAACTGAAAGAAAAGAAATTAACTGAAAAATTTGCTTGTGGACATTTAACAGAGGTGACAAAATGTCCAAAATAATTTTAGAAAATTTTAGAGGTACAGCCCAAGTAGGCGCGCGGCCATAACGGCGCAAAGCCATAACTTGCTTCAAGATTTCCGAATCTTGCCAAATTTAGTATTAAACGATTCCTCTCATCGAAATAAAGAAATTGGTACCAAAAATGACAAGGGCCAGAAATTTTCCAGCAAATTATGGCTTTGCGCCGTTATGGCCGCGCGCCTAATTGGGCGTGTCCCTGAAAATTGGCTTGTGGACATTTAACAGCCGTGACAAAATGTCCAAAAATAATTTTAGAAAATTTAAGAAAATAAACCAAAAAAATAATCATTAAAGTAATCTATTTGTCCGTTTAAAGTGTAAAATTGTAAAAATAAAAAAAGGAAATAAAAAGTTAAATAGATTGTTAAAAATGATTTAAAAGAAAAAAAAGAATTTTTATTGTAAAGTCAACAAATGTTTTTAAAAAAATGAATAATAAATGGGGGGGAATAAAGAAAAATGGAGGGAAATAAAGGAATTAAAATTAATAAAAATGTGAACTGATAAAAAATATTTTCTAATCAATTTAGGGTGAAATATTTAAATAAATGTAGAAATTAATTGATTAAACACTAAAAAACGTCACCTTTAAGTGAATGAATTCCTTAAAAAATTGAAATTTTTTTAGTAAAATTTACAAAATAAAAACTATTTTAAAGAAAGATTGAAAAAAATAAAATAAAAATAAATGTTTTAAAAATTTTTTTAACCTTTAAACATTATTTTTGAATAAAAAACACAAAAAGAAAAAAAATATCTCGGAGAGGGATTCGAACCTGCATCCCCTTCTGCTGAGCCAACCAGGACCTTCCCCACTCGACCAAAGTAAACACGAACAATATTCTCGAGAAAAAGGATGAGCAAACAAAAAGAAAAGGGCAAATTAACAAAAAAAACCTTTCAAAAAATAAAAAAAAAGGGTTAAAAAAATATTTGTTACGTTTTTAAACGTTTTTTAAAACCCCTTTCAATTGTTCAAAAAAAGGTGGAGTCCAAAAAAAAGTTTTTCGTCTTAAAATGACACAAAAATGAAGTGAATCACCCCAAAACAAAATTTTTTTACAAAATTCAAAAAAAACTTTTTTTTTCTGAAGATTTCTCATAAAGCAAAAAATGTTGTGAATTACAAAAAAGTTGAAGAAAAAAAAAAGAAGAAAATATTTTTTTTTATTTAGAGTTGCTAGTAGATGACTAAAGGTTAAAACAGAGAGAGAGACTAACGATCGATTTTCATTTTTCTTTCATACAAGGAAGGGAAGATTGGCTTGGGATTTTTGTATTTTTATAATTACAGACAAGACAAGTGCTTTTATAGAAGGATAATTTTATGAAAAAAGGTAAAAAAATTAGTTATCTCTCATTTAGAGTTTCAGGTAAATCTTGTCTCACAGTTTATTTTTTAAAATTATTTTAGAAAACTATTTGTCTTTCTAAAAGAAAAAAACAAAAGAGAAATGCTTTTCCAATGCTTTTCTCACCACTTGGATTCGAACCTTCCCCCTCTACATGAGAGAGACGAAACGCTAGACCACTACACCAAAATGCCACCTGGAAGGCTTATTTTATTTTCTAGTTACATAAATAAAAAAAACAATCGAAGATATTGGGAACAATTATAAAAAAAATATTTTTAACATTTTAGAGTGATTAATCGTCTTTAAAAATATGGATGGACAACTGTGAAAAACGATTTTACAGCTAAACAATAAAAAAAGGCACGCGAATATTTTATGAGTCATTTAAATAAATTTTTACCACTAAAAATTAGTAGAAAATATTCAAAAATAAACAGAATTGGAATAATTTATTTTTCAAAAAATGAGTAGAGAGAAAGACAGTTAAAAATCACTAAAATAAATGCATAAATTCTAAAAATAAAAAAATATTTGATAGGACAAAATTAAATTTACTAGAAATTCAAAATTGAAAATAATCTGAAGGGTGAAAACAGACCTGGCCAGGGACACGGATTTTGCTATCCGTATCCAGATATATCCACGGATATCCTGATGTTATCCGTATCCATGGCCAGGTCTGGGTGAAAATGCTTTTTTTGCGGACTGAATTTTGCGGACAACACCCAAAATTCTCAAATAATTTTTCTATTAATCACCTCCAAAAATCAACCCCCAAAAAATTTTCTAGCAAATTCTCAATCTTTTCTTAATCTAAAAATAAAGACAAGAAAAAAATGATTCATTAATTTTTGTATATTACAAATCCAAATATACACTTTTCTCAACTGTGGAAATAAAAAAATGATTGGAATGAACACAACATTAAAAACAAGGAAAGAGAAAACGTCCCAAACATTCTATCTACATATACTCTAGCATATGACCTTGATTTTGAACACACAAAATAACAACAAAAATAAAATAAAATGAACGCCAAATTCCATCTACAATTTATTCAAAAAAAAAAGAAGAATTTATGTAAATGACGGGGTAGGTAGATATTTATAGATTGATATTGAGGGGGGGGAGAAAAATTGGGGAAGGATATAAAGTCTGTTCTAAAAAATCTAGATACTCCCAAAATTTATCCGAAAAATTTGGAGGTGTCTAAATTTTTTGGAACGGACTTTACAAGAAAACGGCCCAATTTTTTAATCATAAACTCTAGCATTTTTATTCTCCTTTAAACACTAAAAAGAGACATGGATAAAATATCGCGCGCATTTAAAAATTGAATGAATAGCCGGTCATGAAAAATAAAAACACCCACCTGTTTTTACAATTGTGTCTTGATTTTAAAAAGCGATATAGTAAATGGTTTTTTATTAATGTTTGAAAAAATAAAACAGAAAATAATTTAAAAAATAATTTTGCCTTTTAAACAAATTAAAATAAACGATAAACACTTTATTGGGAAAAAGAGAAGAAATTAAAAAATAGAATAAAAATTGTTCACAGGGAGAAAGGAAAGCAAGTTTAATTAATTAATTAATTATTAAAAAAAAGAGCTAGCATATTTAGTTAGTTAATGAGCATCAATAAATGTGGAAAATATGTATTCACAACAATTTTTTCAATTAAAAATCAATCATTATTTATTTTTATTGTTCTGGTTGTGTTATCTGCATTGTTTCAATTTCATCATATACACGATGAATAACTGATTCGTCCAATAAATTTTGTGAAGAACTAAATATTTTTTAAGAAAATTAGAAAAGAAAAAAATATATTTACGCGTTCCTTCTCATTCTAGCAATAGCAACAGCATCTCTAATTGTTGGGTAAAAATTGCGTTTTGGGACATATTCATAAAATCCGCATTTTTCGAATAAATCGCGAACTGGGGCTGAAAATGAAACAAAAAATGTTTAAATTAATTTTTAATTATTTTATTTTCTATATATTTTGCTTCATATTTTTTAAACCTTTAGCCGCTGCAAAATATACTCTAACACGTTGTTGACGCATTTCAGTAAAAATCTGATTAAAAAATAAATTTTTATTTAATTTCCCTCCTCCCTCAAAACCTCCTTCAAAGCATTAACCCCCATACAATCAACAAAAGTAAAACCAGAACAATCTACTATAAAATGTAAATGTTGGGGACTGTCAAAGGAACCTTTAAAGAAATAAATTTAGTAAAAATGTTCCCAATATTTTTTACCAATTTTTTCCAAAGTTTTTTGATTTTCAAAACTTTGAGAAAATGCTTCAGTTTTTGTTTCATTATTTTCATCTTCCGGTTGACGTTCATTCTCTTAATATAAAAAGTATAGAAAATACAGAAATATAAACATTCCGGAAATAGAAGAAATACACAAATTCCGGAAAGTAAGTATTGTTTATAAATAATAACTTTAAAACTAGAAGCAAACAAATAATTCCGGAAATAATATTCCGGAAGCAAAATAAACATAAAAGTAACCGGAGTAAATAAACTAGAGAGTATTTCTTAAAAATTCCGGAAAGAATAAAGAAATAACAATTTCTGGAGCCTACAATTCCGGAAACTACATTCCGAAATTAATACATAAATTCCAGAAATAACATTTCCGGAAACTACAATAATTAAAAATTTACGGTTATGTTCATCATCATCCCGTTTTCGCTGCAAGTTTGATTTAGGTGACAAATTAGCGGGGACAACAATTCCATTTGAACCCTAAAAAATTAATTTGAATTTAATTTTACAAAAGAACTACCAGTTTTGTAAATATTTGAAGTGAAGGAGTTGAAGTTGTTTGTCTTAACCTTAAAGTACTCCCCACAACATGCAATCCAAGTTGAGCTCCCTGATAACGTTTCCAACGTTGAAAAGCTTTGTGAATTGTTTCCTAAAAATATTTAAATTTTAAGTAAATTTTCCAAAATTTACTTTAAAATTGTCAACATTTGTAAAAAGTAGAGGCGAATCAAATCGAAAAATACAAATTCCCTTTCAAAAAATACATAATTTTCAATTAAATTAATTTTTAAATTTACAGGAAAAGTGTGTATAAGCTCGTATCGTTCTGCATCTCGAAAATCGTTTGTACCGGAAAGATTTGCCAAAAAATGCCAACGAGGCCATTGGGTACGGAAAACTGAAAGGAGTAAAAGTATTTTATTAAAATACAGTTTCCGGAATTATTCATTTATTGCCCAAATTTTGTATTTTTTCCAAAAGTTTCCGGAATTTCTACATTTAAATTAAATTCACCTGTAGTGAGTAAAGCAAACCCTAAAAATTTACAAAAATTAAATTTCAAAAAAATTAATTAATCACCAATAGAAATAACCAATCCTTGACTAACATCCCAACATACAGTCGAAACAAAACTAACTAGCCAAATTGAAAAATCAATTCGAGAAAGAGGCCAAAGTCTTCGCAAGTCGGCAATCTTGCGAAAAATGCCTTTAAGTGCAACGATAATAATTGAAGAAAGAATACACTAAAATTGATAAGAATAAAAGCAAAAAATGTTAACATGCCATAGGCAATGTCCGAAGCCATTGGCCAAAATAAAGAATTACGGCAGCCAAAAAAGTACAAGAAAAAATTGTGGAAAGCTGAGTTTTTGTGTTAGCTTCGACATTAACCAAAGTTCTACCGAGTGAACAAGAGACGGGATAGACTGGGAAGAAGGAAGAAAGGGTTGAGGAAAATCCGAGGGCAAAAAGCTCCTGAAAATTGAAATTGAGGAATTGCTAAAAGAATTGTTTTACTTGTCCAGGATCAACACGATAACACTTCTTTTTTGCAATGATTTTTGCTAAGGAAATATGAACGGCCATAACCTTAAAGACAAAGTTAAGTAGAAAGACAGAAAAATAAAATACAAAAAATTTCCGGAATTTGTGTATTTTCCGGAAAGTATGTATTTTTGATTATTTCTATTTTCCGGAATGTCTACTAATTATTCATGCATTTCTCTAAAAACTTTAAAAACTTGTAAAAACACACCACAGCAGCAATAGCAATCGCATCCGGAAGCAATTCAGGCAACAACGTTAAATCAGGCAATATCGGAGTTGGAATTCTTTAAATTATTTTTTTTAATTTTCAAATATTTTCTTTTACCCTGCAGGGATATGATCAACAATTTCCAGTCCAAATTTGGAATGTCCATGAAATAAAAAGGACAAAAAAGTGCCGAGGACCATTAAAAATAATTCAAAGGGGATGGGAACATTTAATTTAAAATTCTTCTTTAGCAAAGGATTTAAAAACTTTAAAAAAATAAAATAATTAAAAAAATATTTTTTAAATTAATTTTCACCTCCTTTCCAATACATAACAAAACTAAAAAAAATTAATTTATTAAAAAAAACTTGAAGCAGGCGGAAATTTGCTTTATAATTCCGCCTGCTTCAACAATTAAGTTTTAAAAAATAAATTATAAACTTGCTTATAGAAATGACAGAAACTGTAAAGGTTGGAATGTGTATTTGAGGAATTCTTTTGCAAATATCATAAAATTTCTGAAACAAAAAATTTTTATTAGTCTAAACAAATAATTAATTCACCATAATTAAATTCCCAGCCCCAGACCTCGCCGGTAACCTAGAAAGTCCAAAAATAAATTTTAGTTGAGCAGCAAAAACGTGAACAGAAGCACCCGTAGTGAAACCAGCAACTACCTAAAATTATTTAAATTTTATTTTTAAAATAATTTTAATTTAATTTTACTTGATCAGAAAAATAAGTGCTAATCATATCAAGCCTTAAAATCCCCATTGCTAAAGTAACTAGACCAATGCAGCAAGCTAGTGTTGAAGAAACAATTATAGGGGAAAGAGGGGAAGTCTTTAAGAAAATAATTAGAGAATAATTAAATAAAGCTCTAAAAACATTTAAATCTGAAGCATTATTAAAATTGTTAAACAATTCTCTCCTAGCGTCAAATAATCTATTCATTGCAACATTACTCATTAGGGCTACAACAGCAAAGGAGCCTGAAAAAGAAATTGAAATTTATAAAAAAAAGTTGAAGCAGGCGGAATTATGTTAATTAAAAGGCTTGCTTCAAGTTTATTTAAATATTTGTTTCAAGTTTACCGTAAAAGCTCTAATTGAAGAGCAGTCTCTAATAGAAGCACATCCTACGAGAGGATTGAAAAATAGAAGCACATGTGCTTTCTTTAGAGCATTTACAGTATTTATTTTACCGATAGAATTGTGCCTAGAAGTACCAAAAAACATGTAGATTAAAGGAGGGAAGAATGAAGTGTATAAACCAACAACAGCATCAACCCCAGCTAATTGGGCATAGGCTATTCCTTTATTTAAATTTTTTAAATAATTTATTTTATTTTTTTAACCCTGAGGTACGTGCATAACACCCGTTACAATTCCCCCAATAATATCCGAAGCAAACCAATTTTTCCATTCATAGTTTGGTAACCATTGTAAAATTGGGAAGAAGCTAGAGGGAAGAAAAGGGGAAATTAAAAAAAATTATTATTTTTTTTCAACTTTAAAAAGAAAATTGTTAAGCTTCTAGTAGACAAACAAGGTCTATAATAATATCGCAACAAAGCTGAAGCCCGCTCTTTTAAAATATTTGAGCTTCGAGGAGTCCGGTAACAGAAACGTTTATCGAATTCGTCCTAGAAAATTAAAATTATTATTTTTTAAATTAAAAATTCTTTTCCACTTGATTCATTGGAGGTCGACTTGTATTGTTGTTGTAAGGGGGTGAATTTAAATCCCACCCATTTTGTTCTACATCGAGGAAATCTGGACCGTCTTCGGCATCTTGTGCCATTGATCTCTGTGAAGAAAAGAAATATTTATTCTTAATTAATTTTGCTTTAAAATTTTTAATTATTTGGTGTTTTTCGCATTTATTGAATTATAACATTAAAACGAGTGATTAGACTTGATCCATTAAGTTGAAAAAAATATTCCTCTTATCGGGGGCTTTCGAATGATAAAAGATTTATTTGTGAAGGATTAAACATTAAAAAGTTGAAGCCGATCAAATTCGGTGGAAAACCGATAAGTACTACCCAAATTTAATTTTTCTTGTTCAGATTTAATTTTTCAAGTTCTATTATATCATTTATATATTTTTTAAATTTAATTATTAATTAATTGCTTGTTTTACCCTAAATTGTTTATGCTGTGTCGAAAAGTATAATGAAGCAGAATTTGAAGCGTTATTACTACAATAATTACTATTTTCGTTGCTTTTGTCGCTTTAAAAAATATTTAAATTTAATTTTGAAATTAAATTTAAAAAAATATTTTTTTTAAAAAATACTTTTGTATTTTTGTATTTTTTTCATTTCTCTCATTTCCAGTGTCTACAACAATTTTTGGGTGGATTTTAATAGACATTTTAGTAATTAAAAATTAATTTATTTTGACAAAAAAAAGAAAAAGAATTTATTTTTTATTTTCAAGTACAAATAAAGGAAGTTAGTTTTTGGTCATTAATAAATTATTTTTGAAAGATTTTGTTTTGAAAAAAAAATTAAGACAGAATTTAAGGGGGATGTAAATAAATAAAATTAAAGAATTTTGATCAATTTTAATTCAAAAAAAATTTTCCTTAAATTAAAGCACACATTTAACGTGGGTGATAATAATAACAGAATTTATTTATAAAATATTTACATGACTTTTCCCCGTCATTAAATAGCAAAATTAAAATATGAATGATAAGAATTATTCAAAAATTTTTTCTTTTTAATTTTTAAAAGAAATGTAATAAAAAATTTAACGTTTTGTGTAAATATTTTATTTTTATTTATTTTAATCGAAAGATTAAAAATGGTTAATGTTTATTGTTGTAGACACTCTCGGCAATATAAAACACAAAAATAAATAAACTTTCCGGAAACGCTAAGAGAAAAAAATACAAAATTAGAAAACAAAAGGGGAAAAAATTCCGGAAAGAAAATAATTAAATTTAAATTCTGAAATAGTAAATAGAAAAACTTAAATGAAATTTAATAATATATCCAGTAAAAAAGCTTTGAATATGTATAATAAAAAATTTTTTTAATTTTAAAAATAAATTTAATTATTTATGTAAAATAATATTTATTTATTTAAATTTATTTTTAAAAATTAAAACAGTCTAGTCCACATGACTTGATAAAAATTTAAAAAAAAATATTAAAAGATGTAAATACACAATCAATCGAAAAACCGTTGACGTTTTTCGTCAAAGTTTATTTTTTATTTAACAAACACAAAAGAAAATTTGGGGGAAAAAGAAAACTTTCCGGAAAAATCAGAATAGGGAGAAAATTAAAATATTTTTTGTATTTTCTTTCCGGTTGTATTTCTGGATGTATTTGTTCTTTTTCTGGTATTTTCCATCAGGAAAATTTTTATATTAATTTAATTCACTTAAATAAGAGATAAAAAATCCTTATTTTATTTCTCTACAAAATATAGAATTTATTTGCTTGTAAAAACCCCAGAATAAACTAAAAGACAAAAATTAATCTCCTAAAATAGATCACGCGTTATTTTTGTAAAAAATAATAATTCTGACAAAAAATAAAAACTCACAATTTTGCATAATCTGTAAGAGAAGATTTTGTAGGGGTAGAAAAAGAAGAAATTCCAAGAAGTTGTTCATGTTCCGGTAAAAATGAGAAGGAAGAATCAAAGTAATTAATATCTACATCCATTATAGTACATTAATTTGCGTTTTTATGAAAATAATAAAAAGAATACAGGATCAGATTCTTCTAATACTGAATGTTCGGGCATTCAATTTTTCAATCACCTTCAAAAGGGGTATTCTAGTAGAGAGGTGGAGGGGGACATTCAATTAAAAAAATACGATCAAATTTCAACCTTTCAGAGAAGAAGAAAATCCGTAAAAAATATTTTTAGAAAATCAAAAACTTTTTTAAAAAATAAAAAAATTTCTTCAAAAATAATTTTTGAACTTAAATCTTTGACCCCTCTAAATAAATAAAAGAAAATCAATTTTCTATTTTTTTTCTCCCCTTCACATTTTTATTTACCAACACTACATATTTATATTTACTCTTTCCCCAATCATTAAAATTTTTAAAAATAAAATGAAATTCAGCACTATTTTAGCTAAAGGTAAAAAGTATCCAAATAAAAATAAAATTTAAGTTTTAAGAGCAACATTATCGTCTTATAGTGGTAGGAGGAGGTACAGGTGGTTGCGCGATAGCATCAAAAATTTCTCGTTTATTACCTCCAAAACAACACCAAATTGCAATTATAGAGCCTAATATGGTTAACAAAAAATTATTTTTTAATTTCTAAAAAATTTTTAGAAGCATTTTTATCAACCCGGATTAACTTTACTCGCTGCTGGATTAATGAAACCTTCTCAATTAATAAGAAATGAATATAAATTAATCCCGGAGGGAGTGGATTGGGTTAAAAATGCAGTTAGATCGTTCTCTCCAGCAGAGAATCGTTTAACATTAAATGAAGGAGATATGCAGTTAACTTATGATTATATGGTGATAGCGACTGGATTAGAGTTGAGATATGACTTGGTAAGTAGTTAGAGAAAAAAGAAATATAAATTCCGGAAATTAAAGCAGACAAAACATTGAATAGGAAAAATTCCGGAAAATTAATAGATAAAATATAGAGTTCCGGAAAAATCAGAGAAGTAAAGTTCCGGAAAATAAATAAATAAAAAAGATTTCCGGAAAAGCCTCAGTGAAAATAAATTAAATAGAAACAAAAGAAAATAATTTCCGGAAAAATACAGCAAAACACATAGAAAATTTTTTTTCAAAATGTTATAGAAAAAATGAGAAAAACAAAATCAGAAATTTAATTTTTAAATAAAAGATCGAGGGATTACCTCATGGACAAAAATCAGTATTAGAAGCACCAGGCATTTGTTCAATTTATTTTCCCGATGGAGCAATAAAAACACTGGCAGAAATAAAAACATTTTCAAAAGGACAGAATGCAATATTCAGTTTTCCAAATACCCCAATAAAGTGTGGAGGGGCACCACAAAAAATTTGTTATTTGGCAGAAGATGTAAGTAATCATTAAGAAATAAATTAAAAAAAATATTTTTTAAAGATATTTAGAGAAAGAGGAGTTCGGGAAGGTAGTAGAGTGATTTACTGCACTTCTTTGGGAGCAGTTTTTGGTGTTCCAAAGTAAGCGGATTTAAAAAGGAATTCCGGAAAATATGTTAAAATACAAAAATACGAAACAGGAGTAAACTGAATAAAATAGCAAAATACATCATTCCGGAAAAGTAAATATAAGGGAAAAACAGAATAAACTCTTCCGGAAATACCAATAAGAAGGAAAGTATAAAATTAAGAAATAAAAGATATATTTTCCGGAAAGAGTAATATAGAAATACAATTCCGGAAAGAATATAATTTCCGGAAAATACATTATATTAATTTAACTACGTATAATTTAACTAGATATTCAAATGCTCTAATGTCAGTTATAAAAGATAGAGGGATAGAATTGTTTACACGCTTAAACCTGGCTAAAGTAGAAGTAGATAAAAGGATTGCTACATTTCAAACATTAGACGAGAATGGACAAGTAATTAAAGGGAAGGATGTAGAATTTAAGGTAAAATTGAAAAAAAGAAATTAAAAAAATTCTTTCCCAGTATAATCTCTTACATATTGGAGCTCCCTGTTCACCCGTTAGTGAATTACGGAACCATGCCCAACAAAAAGAAAATAATTTGACAGATGCACAAGGATTTGTTAAAGGTATAAATGAAAAAGAAGAAAATTAAAATAAAGAAATTTTTCTAAGTTGATCCAAAAACCCTACAATCACCCACATATAAAAACATCTTTGCAATTGGGGACTGTGCAAATACTCCAAATGCAAAGACAGCGGCTGCCGTATGTAAGGGGAAATTTTAAAAATAAAAAAATATTTTTTTCTTTCAAAATTAAAGCAAGCCAATTAAAAACACTTTTCCCAAATTTACTCTCAGCGATGGAAGGAAATAATTTAACAAAATTTTATGATGGATATTCTTCCTGTCCTTTACTAGTAGACAGAAAACGTGTTATTTTGGCAGAGTTTACACCTAATGGTCCTCTTGAAACATTTCCTTTTGATCAGAGCAAACCAAGAAGGTAAGTAAATAATTACTCTTCCTTCGACTCTTCTGTTCGGTTCCAAACTCTGACAATTCTAATTGATCTGAGGGAGACCTGTTTTTTAAAAATTTTCTCTCAAAATTATTTCCCAACTTTTTATCCACAAGTCATTTTTTAAATTGTTTTTCTCGTTCTCGTTAAAATTCGGTAATTGGCGCAATTTCAGATTCTACTAACGACTGTATAATTGTCTTAAAAATTATCTTCTTAAGAAAATGACTTGCATATAAAAAGTTGAGGATTTTGAGGATACAAAATAACTAGACATTAAAAAATCTAAAAATTTTTAAAAAGAATTTCCTATCTGATGAAACGTTATTTAATGCCCCCACTTTATTGGTTATTACTCGTTCGTGGATATTGGCTAGGGCCGGAAAGGCTGAGAAAATTGTTTCACCCATTTACTTCTTCCAAAACAACCCAATAGTTACTAAAAGACACAAACAATTAAGACATACTGATATTCGTTTAAAGAATATTTTTTAAAAATTTTTCAATTTTTTCGAAAATAAATTTTGAATGAAGCTTAAATAAATAATTTTTTTATTTCAATTTTTATTCAAGCAAATTTACAAAATAACAAAACAAAAAATTTCAGATAGGGGTTGAGATTTTAAAAATTAAGGCTTTGACTAAAAAATGTTTCGGAAGGTTTCTTGGAAAATTTTTATAAGATTTTTTTTCATTTTTTGACATAGCCTTTATTTTTCCCTTTTATTTTATTAAAAGATATCCCCAAAAAAACACACAAAAAATATTATTTTTAAAATATATTAATCAAAATAGTCATTTGCCGATTCCTCCAATTGACTACGATATTGCTCCTTTAAATTAAAAATATTTTTTTAATTAAAAAGAGAAACACACCTTCATATAAATAATATGTTCCTCAATATTTTGACTGTAAAGTCCAGCATCTAAGTCAGCTTTATGAGCAAACTTAAAAAAATACAAAAATAATTTTTATTTTAAAAAAATATTTAAATACTTGAATGTGTGAATAACAAGCTGAACGACTATATGAAGCAAAAACTTTTTGACAAAGGCGGCATTGGTGAAGTGGTAAATGTAAATGACTATAATTAGGGGGGATAAATTAAAATAATAATTCAGTCAAAAATACATTTAAAGTGAAAACCTTCCGAAAAATACAAAAAACCGGAGAATTTTTTTAGTAAAAAAAGAAAAAGATGTATTTTCCATAAAAAATATCAAAACACTTCGGAAAAATACAAAAAGGTGGAGGGAATTTTTAGGAAAAATAATAAATGAAATAATTTCCGGAAAATTAATTAAAAATAAATATCTCACCCTTACCGAGTATTTATGTGATTAAGACGGTTGAGTTGTTTGTTTACAGTCATTTCACCACAAACTTTGCAAGGAACTTTTTCTTCAATTTTTTCTTCACTTCCAAATTCCTTTTTTTATGAAATTAAATTAGAAAAATAAAATTTTTTTAAAAGAAATTAGGTAAATTATTAAAGAAATAGTTTCCGAAAAACAGAGATAAAAGAAAGAGAGTAGAGATTTCCGGAAAACATAAAGAAAGTAAAAAATTCCTGAATTTTTATTTGTGTTTCTGATATATTTATTTGTATTTTCCCTTTCAATTAAAAATTAATTACCATTTGCATTAATTGATATTGTGTTTGTAAAGAAGTCAATTGTTTCATAGCTGTATTTTTGTTGTTATTCCCATTCCTGTTTGTATTTTTATCATTTGATGTTGTTTCTTCATTGTTATTATTATATTTTTCATTTAATTTTGTTTCAAAATTTTGTTTTTTCTGTTGTTGTTTCAATATTCCTCCAATTAATTCTTCATTAAATAAATTTCCAATAATATTATTTACTTCTTCTTGTTCATTATATTCATCATCTTCCCCCTCCTCATATTCCTCCAAATTTTCTTCAGTCAAATTTTGTCTTTTCTTTTTATTTAATTCATTCAATAACATTTCATCTCCACTACAAATTTCTTTTTTTATATTTCCATTAAATAAATCTTCAACAGACTGATTAAAAGGACCGGAAAGGTGTGGAGATAATACATCTGGTTGGAGCAAGTCTAAAAATAAAATAAGTATTTAAAAAATTATTTTCCTCCAAGTTAAGTTTTGTCAATTTTTTATACGGAAAGTCACATTTATTTACATAAATATTATTTTTTTTAAAATAGCCTGTATTCATATACAATAGAGTTGGGGTTTTCGAATCGGGCCGACTTTCGAGTCATTTTTATCGGGCCGACCGAGTCTTTTTCGGGCAAAATTCGATGCCCGACTCGATCTTTCGGACCGGACCACAACGTTATATACAACTTCCAAAACCCTAATTCTTTTGAGAGAATAAAAAAATTAAAACGAATTTCGGACTCTGGGAAAATAAATGAAAAGAATCTCAATTTTAAAATTAATATTGAAAATTATGAATTTTTTAAAAATTAAAAAACCATTGTGCCGCGAAGTTGATTGTTTATTAGAATTATTTCCATAGCCATATTGTTTAAAAGAAATTGGCGAACGTAAAAAACTATCTTTAGGAAGCGATCCAATATTTTGAGAAGATGGAGAAGAATTTGGGGGAAGGCGGGAATTGTTGCTGTTTCCATTATTTGTTGTTGTTGCTTTGCCGGTAGCCGTTGAAATGAATGAAGTTACTGAAGAAGAAAATTTAGAATTTTTGGCATAAAATTCAAAAAAATTACAGTCAATATTTCTGTCCAAATTTAGACTTGAGCATAATCCTACAAAACAAAAATTGTTTAAAAAAATTAAAGAGAAAAACCTCGTTCTCGTTGAATTTCTCTTAAACGTTCATCTCTAGTTCCAAAACAATTATCACGTCCGGAATGTAAAGTATGTGAATACTAAAATATTAAAAAATTAAATAGCTAAAAAATATTAAAAAAAAACCTTTGCGTAATTACTGACCAAATTGCTCGTATCACCACTGTGATAAATCCTCATATGTTTGTGAATACGAGTGTTGGAAACTTCATAAAAGTCTCTGAAAAAATTAAAATTTGTTTTAAAAGTTAAAATTAAAATTGTAGCCCCCTCGTGTCAATATAGGAGGGAAAGAAAAAATTTTTTTCTATAAATGTTTCATTATTAATTGAGATAATTAATGTGAGAGTAGGTTGGGAGAAAGTTAAGGTTCCGAAAATATTTTTAAAAAATCCGACAAATACAGTAATTCCCTCACAAGATTTCAGAAAATTAAAAAAAACTAAAAACAAACTTTTTACACTCCTTGCATTGAAATAACGGCAAACGCAAATGTCTCGTATTTAAATGATGCATTAGACAACCTCCTGTACTATTTACTAATTCGCCACATTTACGGCAACGAATTCGTTCGACGTTACGTTCACGTCTGTTCATCATTAATGAAAGATTCTAAAAATAAAAAATTTTAAAAATCATTTAAAATTTTTATTGACATCCAATTTTCAAAAAATTTTCACCTGCAGCGCTGAAAAAAAATTCGGCGCAAAAAAATCTTCCCCCTCTGGCCCCCAGAAAAAAATCCTGGGTACGGGCCTGGTCCCAAGGTCAATATGTTCATAAAATTAAACTTTTATTTTTCTACTTAAGTTTGGCCGAAATCGGAGTCCGAAAGCTTCCAAAGATTTTGAACAAGAAAAATGAATAAAAAAATCACATTAGAATTGGAGGAACCTCCACTACCAAAATTCGAATTTCCAAGTTTAAGTTGCCAATTCGGTCTTGATTGTTGTTGGCGAGAAGGTGGAGGAGATGATTGTTTTTGTTTACCACCAAGAAGAGCAGCATACGGCGTACAACGATTTGGGCGGAGTGAATAAGGCTATTTTAAATAAATAATTAAATTGAAAAATTATTTTTAAAAAATTTACAGTTGAAGTATTACGAGCGGCAACATCTCCGCCACCAATTTGTGAAGTGGCCGCTGCTGCTGCCTTCAAAATTTCTTGAACATCGGCCTCCTAAATTTTATTTAAAATTTCCATGAATCGAAAAATGACACCTTTCCGGAAAATAAGACATTAAATTTAAAATAAAACAGAACAAATTTTGGCAACAAATTGAATGCAAAAAATATTAATAATAGAGTACATCCTCTTATGGAATAAACCATAAGTTCCGGAAAATAACTCAAAATGAACCTCACAAAGGGAAACAAATTTTACGATAAGAAAAAACCACTTTATAAAATTCTGAGAATTTTGGAAGGACGAAGGCGAAAAAAATTCACTTTTTTACTCAATCCCATCCCCAAAATTTTTACTTTTCCCTAATTCGAAGAGGGGAGGGGGAGACCCCACTGGTTACGACCTGTTTAAAATCAATATTTATTTACCTGTTTCCGGATTTGTTCATCTTCCTCATCCCCATCCTTTCCCCCTTGTCCATCTCCATATTCCATCATTTCACTTTCTTCAAAATCCTCCATTCCCTCCAATTCCTCGTTTTCTTCATCTGTTGTATTTCCACCTGTTGATTTTCCCGAAGATTTTCCCAACAAATTTGTGGACAATTCCCCTCCTTCTCGAATACTGACAGTTCCTCCATAATTAGGGGAAGTTTTTGCATCCTCAACGTTTTCTCCTTTTTCGTTTGTAGCACGGCGATGTCGAATGTTTTGAGCGATGGCAGCCTAAAAAAATTTCAAAAAAATTTCGATTTTTCAAAACTTACTTGGAGTTGTTCTGTCAAAGAGGAAGATGCTTTATTTAAAACAACAAAATCATCTTCAACACAATCAGCATCTACAAAAATTATTTTTTTAATTTTTAAACAAAATTAAATACCTCCATTTCCAACAGATTGCCCATTATTAACAAAAGATTTCTTCTTTAATGAATCTTTAGACAAAGGTTTAAGTTTATTCCTTTCAATTACTTCCTCGGCTAATTCACTAAAAAATAAGAAAATTTCCAGAAAAAATTCCAAAAATAACCACGATTTTTAAAAAAATCCGAAAAATTAAGAA